ACCGCTGGCTGTGCAGTAGCAAGAGCGTGGGAAGAGGCCATGGAAACGCTGATTAGCAGATCTGCTAATCGAAAAATCCACTTTGATTCTTTCACTAACACAAAAAAAGCCTCCTCTAATTGTCTCTCAATTTTGGGGACTTCAATAAAACATAAAATAATCATGAATAAATGTCAACTCATACAAGGATGTACAGTATCTTGAGTTCTTAATGTATTGTGATCGGGACTTTGACCCATATGTGGATTTTGGTTTGGTCCCTGTGTTTATCCAATGATAGCAACTTAATTTATTATATATATTTACAGTATTAAAAATAGTCAACAATGTGCATTTGTGCCTTGGCTTTTAACACCGACTGAGTTCTACTGTTTTACATGTTACTTTTGTGTGTATTTATAGCATTTTTTTACTTTTTCTTTTTTCTTTTGTGCTTGTGAAACACTTTGGGCAGCTGGTGTTGTTGTAAATGTGCTATACAATTAAAGCTGATGTCATGTCATTAAATATCTAAAAACCATTCTAAAAATATGATTTACTTACATTTCGAATGCATTTCTTGCTACAATGCTGCACTGTACCAGTGAAGCTGTGTTCCAATCTTAAAGCTGGGGTACCTGACTTTCAAACCCTAAACAAGTGAACTCTGCTTTAAAATCCAGGCCACAGGTTCCTCGCTCTCAAAAGAGTTTGGTTCATCGTTTGTATTGTTGACGTCTGTTATAACGACACGTGAAAAAGAGAGGACCGCCCTCACTCAGCCCAAGTTTATTTGTATAGCACATTTTTAAAAACAGACATGACTCACAAAGATTACAATAATAGATATTCTGGTATACCGTACAAATAGAGTAAGAGTTTCAGTTTTAGCTTGAGTTAAAGGCACACCGCGGACTTTGTGACCTAAAGAGTTGACACATATGAGTTATTTTATATGAATACTTGGGCCAATATACAGCGCTTGACACTTGCAATGCTCCGAGCGGGGCTGCCCTCTTGAAATACCGCCCATGTAAGTTTAGAGCAGACGGACCGTCTCCCACCAGGTCACGTGACTTGGAAGAAAGATTTGCTTTACGGCTACAGGCGCTGATATACTCATGGAGCTAAGGCTTTTGCTACTCATTTTTCACCTGCTCGACTCCTGGTCATGGCTGAGGCAAGGAAAAATTTTAAACCTTCGGAGGAGGCTAAAAAGAGGAAACGCGAAAGGGATCGTGCTGTAAGCTGCATGTCTGTATGAGCGCTGCTCTTCACCTGGTTCCTGGATGTCATCGACTGCAAAGATGTCATTCCACGCAGCACGAGCTAGACGCAGAACTCCCTCATCCAGGATATAGAAGTCCATGTGTGGTAGATTTACTAATGCAGCGGCCTGGAGGCTGACCACAGCAGAGTCTCTCAATATCTGTAGGCATGTCTCTACAGTTTGAACACACACACCAGTGCATGCTGTCTGAATACACACTCAAAAGACACCGGCTGACTGTTGACTTTTGCGACAGTGCTGAGTTGCTTGTGGCCACTAGGGGCGCTAAACGTGAAAGTTGCAGGTCTAGCGCCCCTAGTGGCCAAGAGTTACACGGTGTGCCTTTAAAGGTCAGAGCAAAGAAATGTGTCTATAGCTGAGAATGTGGGTCAAACATCAGACTTTGATCTAAACTTAAATATATTCATTAACATTATAATCTACACACATCAGACTTTTAGAAAACTTTCTGTTGAGACAAACAAAATGGATTATGTGAAAAAAGAGAAAATGGTACCCCAGCTTTACCCTAAGCCTACACAGAAAACTTTATTGTTTTAATTTAATGTATATTCAGATGAAGAGATCCTTTATTCCTCCCACAGTGGGGAAATGTCAGTAATGCAACACCAGTTACCGGACAATAGGAATGAGGAGCACACAGCACAATGAACAATAACTTGATTCTAAATAAGATAAAAGAAAAATCTCTAACTCTAGCATGAAGAAAAAAAAGTACACAAACTCAGACTTTAGCAAAATAAAGAAGTATAAAACCTTTGGTATTGTAATAAGCAAGTATAAAGTACTGTGCATATGTTAGCATTTACTATAGCAAGGAAAGTCTGGGCATCTCTGCTTAGACTGCTACCCCCACAACCCGGCAACGGATAAAGCGGAAGAAAACAGATGGATGGAGGGGTTAGCTGCAGCATTTATCTCCTTTTTCCTCATTAAAAGTATTATCTGGCGCGCTGCAGGTCAGACATAACGCACCCCGGTCCTGACACTTAAACATCAGGTCGTGGTTGTTGCCTGAACTCAATCTGCTAATTACATCTTTCTCTTTCTATCTCCTACCTTCAAACCAAACCGTCTCTGGTTAATTAACACGTTTCTTTCCGTCTCTCTCGCACCTTCGTCTGTTCTTCTCTCGACATGGCACTTTGCATCAGCGCCGTACACAGCCCATTGTCCCACTGACGCAGACCGGAGCAGTGGGAGATAATAAGCTGTCTGCTCTGTGAACTTCAAAAATAAAAAAATAAAAAAAAACGCTATTTGCTATCACAAGATGTCTCCATAGTCCACGTCCCTGATTCCACCGAACCTGCTGCGACGCTATTATCGCTGTAAGAAATATGATAAAACAACAGTGGGTGCTTCATGGGAGACATAATTGGTTAAATGCATGCTTTGTTGGGCGCCAGGTTGGTTGGAACAATGCGTCATGCTCTGTTTCTAAGCACACATAGAATTGAATGGCCTAGTTTTCAACAAATTGCGTGTTTCAAAGGACGACGTACAGATATAGTGAGTCCTTTGTGGTTGTAAAGTGCATAACAGACAATATTTCTCGCAAGTGTCCTAGTTTGAGGTTGTTGTAAGTGTGCAAACGGTCGCACAGTCATGCCGCAATCAAAACATATTGTAGGTGACCTGGAGTGAAGGCGAAAATATGTTTTGTGAGAGCTGGAATGTCGTATACACTGCAAAAAAATGATAAAATAGAAATTAGAATCGAGTGTTTTTTTCCGTAATGGTATATAAGAGGATTTTCTACTTCCGGGTGGATTATCAAGACGGTCCTCCCAATTGTCAATGATTCTGGTGATACGTGCTCGCCAAATAAGACCAGAGAAATTTGTTCAAATAGTGGAGAGGGCGGTTTTTTCCTAAAATTTGCGAAAATCCTCCTATATACCTTAAATATTAGTACATTCTGTCTGCCAAGATTTGCCAATAGGACAAAGCCATTTAGATTTCAAGAACTGTTGCTTTATTTTCTCATTCCAAGGGAGACATTTCTTGTATCTTTTTAAAACAAAACGTTTTGCTCATTGTCCCACTGGCAAAGCTTGTTGGCAGTCATAATGTGCACAATTAAAAATACATTTTGCCATTTTTTTGCATTTATTGACTTATTTTTCATCGCTTTTGGCAGTAAAGAGCTGGAGTTGACCAAAGAAATTCTCTCAAAACCATTCAATTCAATTACATTTATTTTTGTACAGTCCTAAATCACAACTGCAGTCGTCTGGGAGGACTTTACACAGTTGTCAATTCCTCAGCAACAGATCACAGAATCAAACCGTTACAGTACGGGGAATACAATGATAACTAACACATAAGAGCCAGAAACTATTAGTATATTATATTTCTGCCATAAATAGTAATAGTATTTTTCAAATGTTTCCATCTTTTCTCAGTGTTGAATTTTTTTTAAATAAATCCTACAAAATTCACTAATACATACTAGGAGCCAATGAATCAAATAAACAACCAAAGCGCTATACTAGCATTTCTATTTACATAGTTTGATTATATTTTGTTTTTAAATATTGGTTTTGGACTACCACCCAAGTCCCAGAGACCCTGGAGAACACAAAACCGGTTTGAAAAGTAGTTTGATGAAGCAGACAAGAAAAAGGTTTGATAATATGATACAACCGTTTTACATTTTATTTGGGCCTGTGTATCTATTAGCACAAACAATTCCGTGTTTGTGCTAATAGATTCAGATTTAGTTAACCCTTTAATAGTCCCCTCAATTATTTGGTAGATCACCTTGGAACCTGTTGGGGGAATCTTTAACACTCGGTTTTTGGCACTTTTCCCTTCAAACTGCATCTCATCCATAATAATAATTAAAAAAAGGTGATAAAAACAAAAGACAAAACAAATAATTTCTGTTATTAGTGCTCCTACATCTTAGAAAATACAAAGAAAAGAATCCATTGCGCTTTTCAAGAAGTGAATGTTTCGGGTTGAAAAACGCAGCTCTGATTGGTCAAGCATTCACAACCACTTCCGCATTAAAACACGTGCTTTTGTTACCGTAGAGTAATCAAATGCAAAGCCAGTGAAACTCGTGTTGCAAAGTTTCTTGTTTATTTATCGGGCGACCAAGTGAGGGAACTGAAAACCTCTCCAGCTACAATCTCCCTGCGCACAAAGGTCACTGTATGATCCTCCAAGAGCCTCCAGAGCGCAGCGTTCCGTGTCCTGGCTTTTTTGCGCGCATCGTTACTTCTACAATCCTATCTGTAGTTAAAGCCGCTGGGTCTGGATCTGGGGCGAGGGCAGGAATTCTCCAAGGTGCTGAAAAAAGTGCACCATCCGAGAAGGGAGGGAGGAAGGGGAGGAAGGGAGGCGCACGTAGGAAGCCCATTGGTACAACGTCACGCGCACTAACTACCCGAGCGAAGAAGGTAAATGAATTACACATGAGCAGCGGAGGAAGAGGAGGAGGCGAGAGGAAGAACGCTGAGGATGCAGCTTTGGACCACAACACTCCATCTCTGGATCGACAACAGCAGCAGGAAGCAGCGATCAGCACAGAGACAGCACAAGACAAACCAGGGCATGACCGCGCACTGAGGTTGGATCTGTCCTCCTCTGCCACTATACCCTCCTCCTCCTCCTCCCATCACCACCACCACCATCATCATCAGCAGCAGTATAGCAGCAGCAGCAGCATCCAGGACACTGCTTTCAGAGGAAGACAAGTGAGACCAAGCACACAGGCACGATGCGTGGATCTCCCCGACATGGGACAGCCCTGGGATTTATAGCACTGCTGCTGCTTGTGGCCACGCAGTTCGCGCACGGAGTCCCGAGCGAGCACCTCCTGGTCCAGCTGCGCGGGGACGACCAGGACCAGGCGCACCAACTTGCGACGCAATATGGGTTCCAGAGTGCGCGGAAGGTAAGGGGGCCACCTGGCAGGCTTGGACGTGTGCCAAGGACATTCTGTATCCATCATAATATTAAAACACACATTCACTATAAAGCTCCATCGTAAAAAAAAGCGCTCGTGCGTTTCCAAACTCGCCCTAAAACAACATGAAAGTGTGTATAAATATAGAACAGTGCTAATAGTTGCACTTCTCTGATGTGAGACTTGGATATATCTCACTTTAGCTTATTTACACTTGATCTGGAAGCCTGCTCCTGCTCATGACGTCATTCTTACCATGTAGATATTGATTAGGAGGTCCTCCCAATCAATACAGTAGAGTATATGCAGCTTTATGGACACAAGATTTTAAAATGTGTCTTGAACTATGTGTTGCAACAATACAAATCCCTCATTGTGGAACAAAGAGAGGTATTTTCTTCTTCTCTTGCCATTATCTTTTTAACTTGGCAGTCCCCTGGCCAAGACACATTCACATTATTACTAAAAGAAAAAAAGAAAAAAACATTGGAGACTTGTTTGCACAGTACATAGTGCAGTTATTGCTACTATACTATGGCAACAATGGATTACAAACAATTTCAACAGATGCCAAAAAACAAAAGAAACAAAAACAGTTACAACATTTTTGATTAAAGTGACTCAACTCCGAATCCCTAACATTGTTCATAGGAAGAAATCGGAATAAGTTCAGGAACCATTTGAATTAAGTGGCTTTTTATATGTCTTTACCCCATGCAAAAACAGTACAAACCTAAAACAAAACAGAGCACCTGTGAATAAACAGAATAAAATAACAAAGCCTGGATGTGTGCCAGACATGTGGATCTTGCCCTCAGCCTGCGTCTTGTCTGTCTGTGCGCCCGTGTCACATGTCACAATAGATGCGTGGGTGGAATTGGCTGGAGCCCGAGTGTCCAGCCAGGCGTATAGCAGCGGTGAGCAGGGGGCCAGGCTCTCTCTCTCTCTCTCTCTCCCTCTCTCTCTCTCTCTCCCTCTCTCTCTCTGTGTCGATTCCCCTCACCTCCTCCATTTCTCAATCCTTGTTTCTCCATCTACACCTCCTCAATGTGTGCCCGGGATTGTTCGAGATCATCCCCCATCACAGTCCTGCCTCGCTGCCCGGCTCCTACGTTATGTAATCTGCGGCTATATTTGTCTCTATGCAATGTGCACCAACATTCTCATTCTTACGGTTGTCATAATTAGCGAGCTTGCAAAGGAAGCTCATGATCATTCAAGCTGTATTGTTGTATTGTTTTGGTCGTTCAGAAACATTTTGTGTTTTTTTCCGTTTGTAGGCCAAAAAACTGGAATCCACATCCGCAGCCCTGTCTTAATTTTAGCTGTTTGCATAGAGTTAAATTAGATCAGACGCATTTTACTTATAGTTTTGAGAGCTTTTGTTGGTATTTTGTTGGTCGACTTCACCCCAACTCCCGGTCAAACTCCTTTTTGTCCCTTTTCAACCACTGTATTTCAAGATGGCGCATTGACATATAGAGTCCTCCATCTCTCAAGTACGTTTATAATTCAAATCCCAAGCATATGACAACAATTAAAAACATGGTGGAGGTAAACATTATTAAAAAGGTCACATTTATTATTGGCTAACATGTTTTTTCATTTGGACTAACTGTAAACATTACACAGAGTACCTTGTAAAGCTGGTGAGATATGTATCCTGTCATTTTGAGACTAATATTTTCCCGTTCCGTCGGACAGAGATGGCTGAAGACACATATAATTCCGTGTCTGACCTGGCATTTCCCCCAGGCATAAGAGAAGTCATCATTCCCCGCTCAGATCTGAAGGACAGACTCCAGTCTCAATGATGCATCTCATTTTCCCCCGCTCTTATGAATTACCTGCACTTTATTTGAATTCCCAAAAATAGCCTCTTCAACTCAAGCAATGAAATCAATGGCTTCTAGCACCTGAACAATGACCTTGCGATGTGGCCTGGCTCTCTGATGTCCTCGGCGGTCTGTCCGTGTGGCGTTTGTCGGAGTGTGCTCTCGGTGCCACCACTCATTTGTTGTGTCTCTTGCAGCTTCCGTTCGGAGAGGGGCTTTTCCACTTCTATCCTCAGGACACTTCAAAGAGCAGGAGCAAGCGTGGTGCCCGCAGCCGCCAGAGACTAGAGAAAGACCCCAGGGTGAGCCATACACACACACACACACACACAGACACACATACACACACACACATACACACACACACACGCACACACATATTCCCTTGTTACCAGTGTGTGTGTAAGTACATGTTTATGCTCGTTATTAGCAGGAATGTCTGAGCACAAAGGATGTCACGCTTCCACTTTGAAAAGAGGCCACACACGCTTCTGTCTGCTAAATATGATACTCAGCAACACTCATGGCTCATTAAAACGTTTTTAGTACCTTTGAGCTGAATTTGAGCTTGAAGAAAGGAGTATGTACACTTGCCGTTTGGCTCTGCACTCTTCCCCTTTATGTGAGATCAGGTAGTGCAGAGTGGCAGGTCAAGTTGCAATGCACGGACATTTTTATCTTTTTTATTGATCGTGCAAGGCTGCCGCATCATCCACGTATCGCAGATTCAGAAAATTAAAATTGAAAACGGAAAGATTTGTTTGAGAGAAAAATGTTCAAATCCAACTTTGTGCATGATACAGTTACGGTGAACTTGGGCTGAAAGATTTTAGCAAAACTTATATTTTCATTTTTTGGGATAAACATTGTTTGTCCCACTACTGGAATTTTTGTTTGTTGGATTCTTTCTAATTTGCACATTTTAAACAGGAGCAGAGGTGTTATCATGAAAATGTAATCGTTGCTGTACATACTAGGCCCAAACCAATAGATATAAAAGAGGAGATTTAATGACACTGAATTATAACAAAATACATACAGACATAACAGAAAATATCATACCCCAAGGAGAGATGATTGGAGAGAGAGAGAGAGAACCCTGGAGGCTCTGGACCTCAGCATTAGGCTGCTACATGTTGCTTAGAGAGTTGACACCGACCAAGAGCCCAAACTAGTCCATCCCAGCTATCTATATACTGGCTGTGAGGTTACTCCCAGGTTCCGCTGGATTGGTCAGGGGGGTCAGCCAGGAGCAAGCCAGCCCCCTTGGAGGGGGGACATGGGCATCAGATAAAGGGGAAAATCCATACCAACAAGAGGCGAATACATTACTTTAAAACTAACTTGTTGGTTTTTGCTGGGTCGCTTCACAGAGTTTACACTGCTGGATGAATTATCTCAAGAATGTGCTCTACATTTTAAAATAGTTAGGACTGGTCAGGCTCGGGCTTATATACTGAGAGAAGCAAACAAAAGTGAATAGTGAACTGGTAAACTACTCTAAACTCACACTTTTAATATAACTCTACATAATATATCTTGCACAAAAGATTTTTTTTTCACTTTTTTCACATTTGCACATTTTGCACATTAATCTGACATGCTTATGGAAGACTTGAGAGTTTCTGAGTGTGGAGCAAAGTCATCAAACTCTAACGTAGACTTCGCACAAACAGCATGGCGAATGATGACCTTGAAACTCACACGATCGTTATAGTAAGCGCACAACACACCGGCAAAGCTGTGACTATTGCAGCTGTAGAAAAACAAAGCCATCGATCGAGAACCGCGGACGTTTTGTGCAAAGAACATAACAAGTATCGATGGTGAGGCTAAACAGGGTTGTGTGCTGCAATCAAACAGCATGGATACAAAGAGCTCTAATTAGAACCAAAAGCACAGAGAACAAACGGAACAGACGCAGTAAATGTCAAATGATCCTTCATCTTTAAAGTGAGTGGTTTTAACTGCGAGGCTGAATGATTTGGAGAAAGCAGTTTGTCTGACGGTGATTTGAAGTTTGTTATTGTAAAAGTGAGCAAGAAAAAAACATGTTATTGAGTTGAGGGAATGTATGTATTGTTTGTTCGAGTTTAGCCTGGACTTAGCCAAACTCCGGTCAATTATTATGTCCCTACATGTACGTCTGGTCCCTGTGGCTGCAGTCACCTCAGTTGAATCCCTCCTGACCAATCAGGGAGTGGTGGAGGCGGGTGTTATAGGTCGGAGTCGGTGACGTCAAGAGTTTTTTCCGGATTTGCTGGTTGTAGTTTGACAATGGCGGCGAATGCTCTTCAATCTGTTCTGGTTCGGCCAGAGCAAGAGGAATGTTTAGCCATTTTCATTCCTGGCAAAGATGTTGTGGCTCCACTCCCCACGGGCTCCGTTAGTGGCAAAAGAGATGGCTAGGCTAAAGGCTAAAGACCAGGCAAGTTCAAGTCCAACCCACAGGTATCTTTTATTTTTTATTTATATAGCGCCTTTCACAGACCAAAGTCACAAAGCGCTTTACAATTGTTGTAGGCTTTTGTCACCCACAGAGAGAGGAGTGAGATTCTTCACTTACTGAGATTTTAGCTGTTATTTTTATGTAGCCTTAGTCCAGGACTCATAATGGATCGGAGTTCCCCCTTGTCCATCACAGTTTACCTCCCAAAGCTCTTTTTTTCTTATAATTACAATAAACAAGACTTAGAGTATTACGGAAGTCTCCTTTACAGCTATATCCCTTGGTAGATGCCAGATGGTGCCACATGTGGATTTATAGGTATGCTTAAGTTCAAGTTTATTATTGTCACGTACACAGTATATGCAGCTTTTTATGGACCCTACAGCAAATATTTCATAGTATAGTGTTGACAACATACAATTACAATAGATACACAGAGTTAGGCTTGGTATATCAGTCCTATGGCTTCAGGAAGAAAGCTCCTTCTCATCCTCTCAGTTTTGGCTTTGTGGATAAGATTGCTCCTCCCAGAGAGCAGTGAAGTGAACAGTCCATGATCGGTGTGGCTTCTCATATTTTAGGACGAACTGTATGTACCATTGCTTTTAGAGCTGAGATGGATGAACGTTCCAAACCCTGGGATACTGCCTCGGACGAGTTTATTCCTCTAAAAATGCGGACCACTGAATTTATTTGGCCTGTTTCTCCATGTAAGCCAAATCAAAGTTTCTCTGTGTCTCATGGTGGCTCTGCAGGGTCCAGGGGGTCATTCGGTTCTGGGAGATAGTGGTCTGTGATCTGTTCGTCATGCCTGGTCCCCTGCTGTCCCCCGTTCTCCTGATTCTTCTTATGAATTAGATTATGGGGCTTGGATTAAACAGGGTCTAATTAACGGTTCTCTTGGCTGGTCTGATAGCTGGAAAAATGTGTGTGTTTGTGCGTATGTTTGAGTGTTATGTGCACATGTGTTTATATGCATGTGCTTGTGTGTGCGTGTACAGTATCTGTGCGTTTATGTGCAAGTGCAAGCGTGTGTGTGCATACGGTTTTGTTTGCGCGCATGTGCGTTCGTGTGTGCGCGTGTGAGTGTTTGTCTGTAAGTGCGTGTGTGTGTTTGTGCATATGTTTGTGTTTTTGTGCGCGTACATGTCTGTTCTCGTATGTGATCGTGTGTATCTGTGTTTTTATGGGCATGTGAGCGTGTGTGCACGTGCTCTTGTGTGTGTGTGTATGTGTCTTAATACACCCTATGAATGCATACACCAATCATAAGTGCCTAATAATGATTGACAGCGGACAAACATTCTCATCGACGTGGCTACCCCTTACTCCCCCCGCCCCCCCCCCCTCCCATTTCCCTCCCTCGGAAACAATCCCACGTTTCAGGCCCAAGCGGAGGTTGCGGCCGAAACACACACAATCCGCCAACCTCTCTCTCTTTCTCTCTCTCTATGTAGGCTCCGAGAGGTGATAATGGAAATAAATGCGAGTCACAGCAGCGAGCTAATACCAGTAATGGCCGTGGAGGCACAAACACCGACCGGCCTCAGCCAGGCTTTTCTAATCTGCCCCTTTACATGCGCGACGCCACAAATATCGACCGCCGTCCATCCTCCTCCAACAGACGAGGTCGGTTCGTGTGGTTTAACAATGCATCTCTTTTCAATCTCAAGTGTCCTGTGTCTGTCTCCGCTCTCTCCTTTCGGGGTCAGCTTGACTTGATGAGGTATTTTCGGAAACGCTCGAGTCGTCATCGGCACTCACTCACTTAATTTGCTCGAAATAAACAGTCTGCTCCCCTGCATTTGTCTGTCAGTCAAATCAAAATAGAAAATTACAGTTTTGACTGGCTGCAATCATCAAATCGGAGACTGTTTATTTAATGTGATGCTTCTCCAGGGCTCGTGTTGTCGCCCAGTATGAACAGGTAGGGTAAGTTTATGAATAATCACAGTACGTTAAAAAGAGTGCAGAAATAATCCTTCAGTTAAACAGACCTTTTTAACCTGGCAAGGCAAGTTTTTTTGTATTCTCAAACTAGGATTTGAACATTGTCAGAGAAGAAGTCTGTCTCACACAAAAGTCAAAAGCAAAAACGCACAAGTTCCATTAGAAAAAAAGATATTTGTAAACTTTGCCCTTCACCAAGTAGTTATTTGAAAAGCCAGATACTCTTTAAGTGCCGTACACATACACTTTCACCCTTTCTTGTGCAAATTCTTTTCAAATCTACTGCAAATAACAAGATTGTAGCGAGAGGAATACATATTTTTGTCACTTAATAACAAGCTATTCATAATTTTCTCGCAGAATCCACATGACGTCACAGACTTATCTTCAAACATCAGTAATTTTATGCTAGAATTGATTAAATGGCGAGATGCACTTTAAGGAATCTTTATTTATATAGCGCCGTTCACAGCAGCCACTGTTCTGGACATGTTAGGAGTGGTCGGGGAAACCAGAGCACTTGTAGACAACCTACACAGACACGGGAAGAACATGCAAACTTCACACAGAAAGGCCCCATCAATATTTGTGTTAATAGTGAAAAGCAGATGCTGTAGCTGTATTGTGAGCCCTGAACGACAAAACAAAACATTTTTACGGAGCATTAATAATAATATTAATAATAATACATTTTATTTATATGGCACCTTACATTTCCGGGAAACCTCAAAGTGCTACAGATTAAAATACAATAAACAAACAAACAAAACAAAAGCATTAGACGTACATACAATATCAAAAAGAAACATGACAGGGTTAAAGGCTCATAAAATCAATACTTCCTAATGTTTTTATTTGTTATTCTTCATTTAGATCACAAATTTGAGCCCCCTCTTTTTTCCTGGGGATCCTGGTGTATAGTTCTGACTAAAATATAAAGCATTGTATTTTCTCAGCAGCTGGAATCCTGATACAGCCTCAGCCCAGACAGTGTCCTCTGTGTCTCGAGGCCCCCCTCTTGGGCCGTTCTGTCTTGATGGCTTCATCTAATAGAATAGTTATTTTAGGAAGCAACATTCTTGAGTCCTCATTAACTACTTGGTTAAAATGCCCAAGCAGCATTGATGAAATTGGATTGTCTGCTTATCCTCCAAGAGCTTTTATCCCAATTCTGTAGACCGCTTGATAAAAGCAAGTCTTCCATGTCCGCTCCTTATCGACTTTTAGATCTCTGGACATTGTCTTACCACCGAGTTTCCCATCAAACATCCGGAGCAAGCCATTGATTGATTGTGTAAGGGCAAGCTTTCATTTCTCCCTCAATTTGATGCTTCGGCAACTCAAGCAGACATCCCCAGCTCCACAAAAGACGAATTAACAAGTGGTTTTAATGGAAATGGGATGCCGCAAGGCCACAAAAGCCTGCGCTGAATCAGAAGCATTAGTTGACCCTGAGTAGTGCATCGGTTGAAGAGGAATATAGGACATGTGGGAGATTGGAGGAGGGGAGGAGGATGGAAAAGCAGGGTTTTTTGTATTTGAAGGGAAGCTTTGTGAGCAGCAGTGGGCAAAGCACGGTGTTGACAAAGCATGGGCAGAGTTTGATGTGAGGAGTGGGCAGTATGACATGCTGTCTCCGGGGAAATACCAGCTTCCTGCCAACTATAGTGAAGGAAGGAAGATGAAGATGTAGAGAGAGGGAGCCGCTTTTGTCGCCTGGAGATTCTTCATAAACTGTTGCATTTTCATAAGAAAGAGTAGCCTAAGAATAATAATGCACCAGAAGTATACAGTATGTAGCACAGTGGTGTGGGACTATTGATGTAGCCACAGCTGCCCTGGGGATGACTGACAGAAGTGATACTACTCATCCGACACACAAAACATTTCGGGACATGTTTTAGAGATTAAAGGTCTAGACAAAATACACACATAGATTTGTGAGTTACATACTGGTCCTGGTTCAGCCCAGAATGTTTGATTTGCCTGGAAAAAAGTGGGAAACATGTATTTATGGACGTAGATCGACATTTACGAACAGTAGTCATCCATCTCCCTATGGATGGTCATCTCCCTTTCTTATTATTGATTATTCCAATTGCTTGATTCTCTAATCTGTTCATAATTCACAATTTTTAATAAGTCCCCAAGACAACTGGTGTGGTGAATTAGGGCTATACAAAAATACATTTCATATATTTTCCTTATTTTTCCTCATTTCTTATATTTTACTTTCCTATTATTGCTTATTCTACTATGATTGTTTGATTCTCTAATCTGTTGTTGACAATTTGACAATTTTGAATAAGTCCCGAGACAACTGCTGTGGTGAATTAGGGCTGTTCAAAAATACATTTCATCAATATTTTCACAGTTTAAAAATATTGATGAAATGTATTTTTGAACAGCCTGGAAAATGGTTGAGAAAAAATAAAATTTGAGTAATATCCATTCGTTCCCTCCCTGGTCCACTGCATTTTTTTGCGAAATTATTGTGAATCAAACATGGAGATCCCGGGTCTTCTGCACAGTGCGAGTATGTAAAGTGAGAGTTTTATGATGTGGTTTGGACGTGTGTGCCTTGAGTATTTATCGTCCGCGCGTCGTGCCGTGTGTGCGTGTGTATTTGCTGATTGCTTTGAGCGCATCATAAAAGACAGGTCTGAATGAATAGGCCGGGCCGGTGCTAAAAGGCCTCCTTAAGTGTGCCATGCTCTTTTATCAGCCACGGCAAACACACACAACAATGGCTCCATGTCCTCCCCTCACTTGAGTGAATTTGCGAAGGGTAAGCAGGAAAGTACATTAAGGACATCTGGGGAATATTGCACTAAACCTGTGATATGGTGCAACGTGTGGCTGTAGATGCAGTGGGGTGTGCTTTGAAGGGATAAGCTCGAAGGTCAGCGTTGGAACAAATGTTGAAAAATGTGTAAACACGTCTTTTGAGGCATGTTTGAGAAGTGGTGAGATTCCAATTTTAAAAGCAACAATTATGGCTGTCTATTCCACTTGAGCAACTTGAGCACTTTTCGGCCAATCCGATATAATATTTTGCTTTGGCTTGTTGATGGAAATGAATGTGTTTTTCAAAGCTTCCACGCAGAGACCGTGCAAAAAAAGTTAGTCAAGGCTTTCCTAACATTTTACGAAGAGGGCGACGTCCGTTAACCAGCGGGCCCGACACCCCTGGACTTCTCTTTCTGTTCTGAGATTTAGAAAGAGGTATGACATGTCCTTATACATTTATAAGTAAGTAATCTTTACAATTGTTGTGGGGATTTGCAACAGTATTTGTGCATTTACAATATCAATATGTATCTACAAATGCATTTCTGATTACAATTTCTCAGCTCAAAGAAATACAAACTTTTCGTTAGCTCCATATACAGAATGTTGTGTCACAATCACCAATAAATGTTGGTATAGTCAGACAGGTTTTACATCAAGGTATATCATGTCTATATTGACGGTGCTATTGTTGGCTGGATGACATTGTGAAGAGGGCATAGTGCATATGTGAGCTATTTTTAGAAGTATCTATTTGTTTTGTGTGGATGGATGTGTTTCTGCTGCTGCTGGAAACCTGGATTTCTCAAGGGGATCAATACAGTATCTATCTAGACATGCCTGGTCTGGATGGAATATGTGCTATATGCTTTTCTGCAGTAAAATGGTGCAAGATAGTCTTCCCTCCCTGATGCAGACCTGCCCAGTTGTATCAATGGAGAGATCAAGACAATATATTTAATTTTTGTGTTACAGGCTACATTTTGAAACCAAGGCTCGTATCTAGGCCATGTGTATCACAGAACAATGCCGCCACAAAATACTCTCAGATCATTTTGGCCGGCCAGAGTCTTAATTAAATTTGATTTTTGTCCATTGAAAGATATAATCCACCAAGATGAGGCTGAATGCGTCCACTGACGTCACATAAACCTATTAAATTTACACAAAGAACGGACTGAAATCTCATTAGCTTCATTTCAAAATATGCCCCAAAAGACGACATAAGAGATGACAGAGGTAGGGACATTCTAATGCTTGTAATATCTTTTCACACAATTCAATCTGCCTTGTCACATTAAATTACTGTGTGGCATAGGTTTGCTTTGGACGGAAAATACTTAGAATAGAAAGAGGAACAAGAGCAAGAGAGATGGAGAGTTTCAAAATCTTTTCACTTTGTGTGTGACAGTTGTTTTTACAGGACTCACATGGGGTGAACAGTAACTCATTACAAATACTAGTGTTGCTATTGAGTTTTTTTGGGGTGTGGAGTAGTAGATTGTACTTTACTCAACTGGAGAACACTTTAAGCCATGCAATTGTACTGGATTTAGAAGTATTGAATGAATATTTGTCCATTTCTAAACCTACAAACACATGGCTCTATTTCCATGCAATATGTGTATCTAAGGTCCAATGAAAAGTATTATGAGTGTTACTGTAGAAAGTAAAACCTTCACATGTTTCTAGTGGCATTTCCACAACTGCTATATAATTGAAGCTTGTTTTGGTAAGGTAAACTCTGAGATAAGGATAATAAAATAAAATGCATGGATAAACGACATCCAAATCTTCATCTGGATTTAAAATACTCACATTTTCTCCCTAAAGAAATATCTTTGTCTTTGCAATTTAATATGGTTGTTTTGTAAAATAGTTCTGACTCAAAAGTAGAATTTCCTCTAAAGGATGGGTTACATAAATACTACTATATTTTTTTTTCTTGTCAAAATCGTGTACACACTTTCCAGCCCCAAAACCCCAAAAAACACGACACAAAACAAAAATGTTGCCAAATGTTGCTTGAATTAGGATAGAAACATTTTAATTTGTGTATTTGAGCATTGGGTGGCAGCTCTGACTAATAAAGGGGAAGAAAATCACATGATATTTTAATTTTAGTACATTTTGACCGGCCAAACACAAGATTTGGCAATGTGACAAGCAAAAATCTATTGTTTTATATGAGACGATACAGCAAATGTCATGTTGGAATGAGAAATAAATTGCCATTGCACTTGAAAAAATATTTGTGCTATTGGAAAATCTTATTTCTATTGGAGAATGAAGAGTCAAAATGCATTCAATTCACGATAAAAACCACTGGATTATTCCCACACTTTTGCTTCACTTTTACAGTGTATGTGCTGTTTCATGTGTATGGTCAAACCTACACAAGAGGAACATGCAAACTCTATCCAGACACTATCCTCTAGCCCAGGACCCTGTTGCTGTGAGCCCTGTGCGAGTCTGTGCAGCAGCCGCCTGACAGGTCTGCAGTGCCTTGAATAGAGAAGCCGTCTTATCTTAAAGCCATGCAGCTGCTCATCCCACGCCTTTAATTCTTTGAAGAAACACAACATGCGTTTGAGTGTAATTGCCGAGCCTTTTCTGCATTAAAAACGGCTCTCCCCTAATATTCTCTGGCGTGGCATTTTTACAGCACCGTCTCCCTCTGCAGCCTCCTGATTAGAACGCGGAGAATAGTCATTTGATTTACATGATGTTCCTTCCTGACGGTACAGTGGTGCACAGCCGAGCGCCATCATTTCCTGCCGTCACTGAACACCTACACATTATTGCCAGCCTCCCCCAGCTGTGTTTTAATAATGCATTTTCTACAACGTGACTGATGAAAATAGATACGGCGTGACCCTTGCCTTGTGTGTTGTGTGTTTTATTCCCGGGGGCAGGTGCAGAATGTGGTGGAGCAGGATGGCTTCAGTCGGCAGAAGAGAGGTTATCGGAGTCTGGATCATATTGAAGTCAGCCTCAGTGACCCGCTCTTCTCCAAGCAGTGGTACCTGGTGAGTAATCAGCCGAGCATCTGTTTGGGTAAATCATGACCTTTAGCTTTGGCGTGTCACTGATGCCAGAAGCATGCATCAAATCTAATGTTTTAATTAGATCAAAATATTCAACAGTTAAAAGCTGGGGTATCTCACTTTCCAACCACAAAGAATCGAACTATAATGGAATCCCTGTACCTAGTTCCTGGATCTCTCCGTCACCTCTGTCACATCTTTACAGCAGCTTTTTTCAAACGTGAAACAGAGAGGACCGCCCTCGCTCAGCCAATCAGAGCTCAGTCCAGTGTGTAAAAAAGCGACTCACAGGGATCTTAAGTATTATTTAGGTTATTATTATTTATTATTATTTAACAAGGACAAAAGTGAAGACCCAGGAGTTTTTTGTGCTTGACAGCTAGAAGGTGGGTTCAATTCCACACCCAGGCCTTTCTGTGCTGAGTTTGCTTGTTCTCCCTGTGTCTGCCTTGGTTTCTTTGTTGGTGCTCCGGTTCCAGGACTCCCTTAAAAAAGAGATCTGCCATCTCAGTGGGACTGTGGTTAATTAAAACGACCATATTAAGATACCACAGCTTTGATGCAATGTTGTGCAAAAACTGTTTCTAGTCATGTTCTAGTTTTTCTTCTCATTAATACTGCATGCGTGAGTAAAAGCAATTCTCCCCTATTCAAAACGCCATTTCTTTCAGCCCCACGGTTACACACCCACTGTTGGTTGATATCTATATATTTTTCAAAAACTGTGATACGCCGTTAAACTCTAATTTTATCAAAATTGAGGGAAAAAAGTTTCAGTCGTATGCTGTTATGGTTGTAAGGGTGTTTGGACATTGAAAACCAGCCTTTGCTACAAATGTCACATACGGACTGTTCACTTGGCTCGATCTTATGAATAAATACAAATAAAAACATACCATATAGCGGCAGATGCAAGTAATCAATTTCAATGTGAAAGTCAGACCCGTTACTTTGATCAAATTATGTAATTCACTTATGATCTATCTCTGCCTGACATTTTAATATTTAGAGCTGTTTTATTGTTTTATTTTGCATCTACTTCAATATTTATCAAAGATGTTGTGGAATTATCAGTATTTTCACCACACAGTATGCGTGTACAAATCTCTGTTATTGAATCAATACAAACCAACAAAAGCAAACCTTTTGAAACATATATAACGCTGAAATGTATAAGTTAAACCTCTACTATTTCTGTGGCAAAAAATCCCATTCATGAAACATTTCTTATCTGGCAACATTATTACCAAGATTATTTTTCTCTTCAATTTCCTGCATCGACACAAAAGAATCCCATGGCGATCCATTTCAATATCCTCCAAAAGCTCATTGTGTCAGTAATCTCCCGCTCCTTCTCCAATTCTGACGGCAGCAGCGTCTGTTCCCGGCCGGAGATAAAAGCTCTTGGTTAAAAGCAGTGACAATAAACGTGACATTTTAGCTCCACTAACACGCACGCACGCTAACCTGTGACTCACGGACCGTCTCTTTGTTGTGTGAGCGATTAGATCAACACGGGCCAAGCCGACGGGACCCCTGGACTGGACCTGAACGTGGCCGAGGCCTGGCAACTGGGCTACACCGGCAAAGGAGTGACCATCGCCATCATGGACGACGGTGAGTGAGGGCGCGGCCAGGGCTGTCCACTCTGCCCTTTTGTGTTCGCTCAAAACCGCATGTGCTTGGAGTTAAGTGGTAGTATAATTAATGACACGGCAAGACGGAGGCAGATTGCGTTTCTGTTTATAGGTGAATGGAAATGAGCACAATAACAAGCTTTTATCTAAATGAGGTGTTTATTCTTGTTCAGGTTTAAACAAGAACCTATTCTTGGCTTTTTGTGAAAACGGTTGCATTTGTTTTCATAGCTTTACTTGCGTCAATTGCATTTAAATAAAAATTTAGGAATAATTCTCATAATTTCCATAAAAGACATGTGTTTTTTGATGCTTCACTCTAAAAAAATCAATAAAATTTGGATTTAATTGATGGATCGGTTTGCCCACCCCTGCAGTGCAAGAATTATAAACTTTAAAAATCTGTAATAAACGGTTGTGCTTGTAATAACAGTACATAGTCCAACGAGTTTCATTCAGTCTGATAGATTTTGCAAGTTTTTTTGAAGACCAGAGTGGGTTTTTCCATAACTCAGAAAACTTAGACACCTATTTGTCACCTATAAAATGCCATACATTAAAACATACACTGGGGAAACAGGGAGGGCTTCAGTACATGTAAAAAGTTACGCAGAACAGAAATTGAGAAGGAGACACAGCGACACAAAGCAGAACAAACTGTAAAAGAGAACCACGTTATGGACCGGGACAAAGCAAATATCACAGGAGCAGAGGACAACAAACAGACGCTGGATCAAAGAGGCATCAGAAATAAGGAAACGTGTCTCTAGGTCTATAAACCGGGACGAGGGAGCATTTTTACTCTCACATACCTGGAATTCTGACAAGACACAGGAACAATGAACTCTGAGGAAGATTAGACCCCAGCAAAACCACAACAACAATAACATAACTTTGTTTTGTTGTAATACATTGATAAAGTAAAGTCAATGCGAGTAACAATGTTGTTGGACTCAAAACGACTTCATCAATCAAATAAATCCAACATGACAAAGTTATGTGGAATAAAGTTTGCTTTAATGTATTTTGTTTTCATCAGGGTGATCATACGTTCTAATATTAGCTTGCGACAGACCTCAGGGACAACAATGTTTGGCTTTACAGATGTTTTCCTTCTTCAATTCTGGTGCGAAAACCTTATTAGGTTGTTTTAGAAGTGCGGCTATTTTTTGACACAAAGACAAAGTAGAAATCCTTTCATTCAGGCCCTCCTTTATTATGCAAACATTAATTTTCTGGCAAAGTCTATTAAACCATTGGAAATCCTTTAACAAATGTGTTAAGTGATGTTTTAGTCATAACTCAAGGCATCAGCAGGAGCACCTCTTTCCATGTCTTTTTCGAATTTCTAAAATCTCATTAGTCTTAACCAGTCAAACCTCTCACGACATTTCTACCTTTTTATTCACTTTCCAGGAATCGACTACCTGCACCCGGACCTGGCGTCGAATTACGTAAGTGCTTTGGGTCAGTGTGTTACGGGGTAAAACGTGGGATCTTCCTGTTCCTGCCCCTAAGCATTATCCACACAGACTTCTCGCGGCGGATGTAATGGCTGCCCAATCTTCCCGCGTTTTAGCCAAGAACCAGGGGAGAAAGAGGAGAAAGAGGGAGCGAAGGCAGACGCCGGGCCAAGCTGTTTAATGTTAATGCACCTCGCACAATGGCAGGCCGATCTGTCACGAGCCACGATAATGCCAGGGTAGTTGGCGCTGCATAATGCGACGCTTTCAGGCCAGAATACTGATCTAAAAAAACACAAATAGAAAATGGAGTGACGTAGCAATGAGCGCGCGATCGATCAAGCCACTGGGACGTCACGGTGTTAGATTACAAAGATTCACTTCAACAGACGCATTATTTACACAGCGAAGAAAATGTATTGGCTTTTCACACTCGATCTAAATCTGATGCAAACGTTTCTAGGCAGGGCCAAGTTTATTGGGTGTAGCACAGACACAATATTATTCATAATCAAAGTACATTTTTAACCTGGAATTCAACATTGTCAGAGGAGAAGTCTGTCTTACATTTTCAGGAAGACTGTTCACTTTAGGATGAGAGTGGTGTTTTTTGTTTTTACTTTTCTGTCTGTAAAAAAAATGTCCTAGAAAGACATCAAAGAGGCCAAAAAGACATCTAATGCAAAAGTAAATGCATGTGAAATCTAGGGATAGAACCAACTGTTTTGAGATTGAGAAACTTAAAAAAAAACATATATTTATGACATTTATTATTTTCATTTTATTTTTGATTCAGGCATTATTTCAACACAGAAGCATCACAATTGCTATTATCATAAAAAAAAGAAACTCAATGTTTGGGGTTGTAAATTTAGGTGCCTGAGCTTTAACCAGTTTTCATGCAGAAGAAAAACTAAATAGTTGAACTGTTTTATAGAAGTGTTGTATAATGTGGGCCATATTACAGGTCTGAAATCGTGAGGTTTTACCCCAGATAATGAAAGCATACAATTTAGCAACAAAAGAGATGAAAGATCCATGTGAAACCCCGTGCTCTCAGTGGGTCTGGATGACTGCATGCAGCAGCGTGTGGCGTCAGCTTAAACACACGCCGAAAATGCGTCATGAAGCTTTGACTCATCCGGTTTCTTTTTCTTTTATCACACCTCATTGGATAATTATGCATTTTTCCTTAAAATATAAATCTCGAGGCGGCTCTGTAGCAAAGTGATTAGCAATCTCGCTTCTGAGCAGAAAACAGGAACAGGGCCTACTATCTGAGTCAGTGGAGTTGCATGTTCTCCCTGTATCTGGGGATGGCAGGCTTCTTAAAATTGTACGTAAAAATACTACTACCACCACCACCACCACCACTCCTACTACTACTACTACTACTACTACTACTATCTGCATACGTTTTCACCCAGTGCTAAAAACTTAATTAAATTAGATAACAAAACAGCATTTGTCTCGGAGGACTTTACAAAGTTGTCATTTGACCACCTATACATCAGAGAACACAGAAATTACAATTATGACAAACACATAGAAGCAGGATGACCACTGTGTCCATAAATGTTAATAATTATCCTCAAATGTCCCAGATTATCACTGACTTTAGACCCTCAGGACCCCAAAAAAGCAGGAAAAAAGTGATAAACCTTGGGGAGACTGTAGATTCAGGACTCAAGCTGTAGAACAAGGACTGAGGCTTTAGATTCAGGACTCAGACTGTACAACGAGGACTGAGGCTGTAGATTCAGGACTCAGACTGTACAACGAGGACTGAGGCTGTAGATTCAGGACTCAGACTGTACAACGAGGAATGAGGCTGTACGATGCAGGACTGAAGAGGCTCCCTGCCCCTGGTGGATAGAGGGGTGGAGCCCATGAGTCCGGGCCAGGGAGGGAGAGACCTGTTTTCAGCTACAGATGAAAGAGGCCTGGTTCACTACATCATCAATACACCATGGCACAGACAATGGGACAGCAGGTGAATAGCAATGAACAGCTAAAGCCAGAGGAATATACAATAGATAAATCGGCAGGATGCAGAGGACAAAAACAGTATACCATAACCATAACATTGTTCTCTCACTGTAAAAATATATAAATGCCAAAAAATTCCTTTTGCAAAGTGACAATAACAACACATCTAACAGATAAGAATAACTAATCTACCTCCTTTCACGCTTCTTGAACAACAGCAATTCCCGGCTTGAAGAAGTGACATTGACGAAAAAAAAACACATTGATGTGAGAGCGACGCTTTTACCGAAGAGTTTGAAGCGAGATAGCGTCAACCGCCGCTGTGATTAGACGCTCTTCAGAAGGATCCACGCTCAAAAGCTATGATAAAAATACACATACTATAGAGCTTATGTGTCGTTACAAAAGCCAGGCATTACGCAAGCCTGGCCGTATTGTGGTCTTTCTATTATTCACGAATTCCCCCCTTCGGAGCGATCCTGCCGCTGTTACATTTATGCTACAATACATTTGATAATCTGAATGAGCTGTTTGTGTGCCGAGGTGCGGATTCATTAACAATTTCATGGCCGATTTATCAGGAAAATATGCTCTCCCGGTGAACTAAATGGACCCAGGCACATTAGCAGCCCGTGGTAGTGTCGTGGGTGTACTTTGTTTTGCTTTGGCTGCCGTAACAGGCCTTTTCTCCTCGTTATAAATACAAACATATCTATATATCGCAGAGGATTCCCCTGTAATTAAGAGCGGAATCGACCGCCGTGACCTTTTTCTATTGTCTCCCAAAAGAAAGCAAGCAGAAAAGGGCGCGGAGGTGTGTTATTGGCCTCTGTGTCCCCTTCTGAGGAGAGATGTTGTTTGTTTGTTAGGCCCACTCGCTCGGGCTAACATTTGGGGGAGTTGCCACGGTAACGGCAGTGACGCCACCAAAAGTCCAAATATAAACTCTTACCAACTGTGATGTGTGCCGCGGGATGGTTTGTCGTCCAGTCTGGGAAATGAAACTGACAATAATAAACGGTTTCATTGTTGTGACGGCCCCATCTCTGTTTTGCTTAAATACTTTATCCCCTGTTTTTCTCAAACTATTGTGTCAGCAGCAAGGATTTGATTATTTTGTATAAAAATCTTTACTGCTAAAATTGAGTACATTTTTTTTTCTTATTGTAACAATAGTAGTGGTAAGAATGCATTTGAATGAGCGATATAAAGTCAGATAAAGGACAACGTAAAGCTGGGGTTCCTAACTGTCAGGCCACAAAACATAGAGCTTCCAGTATGTAAATTTTTTTATGTAAAAACTAGTTTCTCGCCCGTGAAACAGTTTGATTCTATCACTAGTTTTCACGTGAATGAATCTTTGGCTGTTCATTCATTAACCCATGTATAAACAGTTAAACTAGTTTTGACCCCCCCCAATAAAAAAAAAAAACATTAAAATCATAAATAATCACAGCACATTAAAACGAGTGAAGAAATACAGGCCCCAAACCGGCGAATGAATAAGATTCCGTCAGACTTTTGAAGCTAAGCAGGACAGGGCTTGGGTAGATCTGATGGGAGACCTCTGGGAACACCAGGTGCCACAGTGAGGCAGCTGCGGCTGTAAAGTGCCAAACTGTTGTTGTGTCCTCAGGCAAGACACTTCACCCTCATCCCTGATAGAAGCAGGTGATCAACACTGTCATCGTAACGTAAGAAAAGTTCTTATGGCAAGACTTTTGCTCATGTTTCTGTCGGACATATTCTGGATTTGTACACGTGAGAGTTGGATCTGAATAGATTATAGGTTGTGGGACCCATGCTTTAGCCCAGATAGGCAATAAGTGAGTGTGTCCAGGGGTTCCATAGCGGTTTGAGATGCTGAACATGTATTTGTTCAGGAAATAATGCTCTCTTTGTAGATATTAGAGTGTATTATTCTTTCTGTTTGTCTGAGTGTGTGTTAGTGCAGAGAGTAGAGTGAGACTGTGATGGCTTCTACACATGTACTGTGTGTAGAAAAAAGTTTCAGGCCGTAATCACTCCGGCCTGATTACCCCTGTTTACAGTCCTATTTATGACATGGCCCCTTTTAGTAGCAGCGTGTGTAGCAGTGTGTGTAGCAGTGTGTGTAGCAGTGTGTGTAGCAGCGTGTGTAGCAGCGTGTGTAGCAGTGTGTGTAGCAGCGTGTGTAGCAGCGTGTGTAGCAGCGTGTGTAGCAGCGTGTGTAGCAGCGTGTGTAGCAGCGTGTGTAGCAGCGTGTGTAGCAGCGTGTGTAGCAGCGTGAGTAGCAGTGTGTGCAGTGTGTGTAGCAGCGTGTGTAGCAGTGTGTGTAGCAGCGTGTGTAGCAGCGTGTGTAGCAGCGTGTGTAGCAGCGTGTGTAGCAGCGTGAGTAGCAGCGTGAGTAGCAGCGTGAGTAGCAGTGTGTGTAGCAGTGTGTGTAGCAGCGTGTGTAGCAGTTTGAGTAGCAGTGAGAGTAGCAGTGTGTGTAGCAGTGTGAGTAGCAGTGAGTGTAGCAGCGTGTGTAGCAGCGTGTGTAGCAGTGAGTGTAGCAGCGTGTGTAGCAGCGTGTGTAGCAGCGTGAGTAGCAGCGTGAGTAGCAGTGTGTGTAGCAGTGTGTGTAGCAGTGTGTGCAGCGTGTGTAGCAGCGTGTGTAACAGCGTGTGTAGCAGAGTGTGTAGCAGCGTGTGTAGCAGTGTGAGTAGCAGTGTGAGTAGCAGTGTGTGTAGCAGTGTGAGTAGCAGTGTGAGTAGCAGTGTGTGTAGCAGTGTGTGTAGCAGTGTGAGTAGCAGTGTGTGTAGCAGTGTGTGTAGCAGTGTGAGTAGCAGTGTGTGTAGCAGTGTGAGTAGCAGTGTGTGTAGCAGTTTGAGGTGGTTGCTGGGGAAAGGTGAGGCATCTTAAGTCGTGGCCAAGCACATTTGACGGCAGCAGGTCGCTCACACAACAGCAGGGAGCAGCAGGCCTGATTGATGGCAGGAGATATGAGCTGGAAGAGCACAGCCAGTGATTCATGGACACAGACCCGTGTCATTTATTACAGAAGCTCAGCATTTTTCAGTCCATTTAATGAAACAAGAGAGGGGAAAAAACACCTACTGTTTGGGAGCGGCGTGTCCTTTCAAAGCAAGTGTTCAGGTGAATAATAATAACATTACTCAACTCTACGGCTTTGGTACATGAGGGGAGGGAATAAAAAGCCATGGACTCCATTGGGAAGATTTTCTCTCATAATGTGATGCAGAATTGCTTCCAGTGTGCGGTGTTTGTAAGGTAAGGCATTGCATTTGAGGCGAAAGGATTGTTATTGTAGTGTTATTAGGAAGGGCAAATGTGTTTGTATGGAGGAAATCACACGCTCGGCAACTCGAAGTGCGTCACAAGACATTCAAATCGAGCAAGTAAACAGGACAATGTGTGGCACTATTGTTGTTCAGATAAGTGCTGTTGACCAATTGAAGACGATGCGTTTTTTATTTTAGTTTTTAATCTGTCTTTGTACAAATATGTATGATTTTTGTTTAGGTTGATTTGCCCTGGACGTGTTTATGTGTGTGTGTGGTAATAAAGTTAAACATTTAGATAAAATGAAAATAGAAAAAATATTACAGCATTGTACAGTTAAACAGAACAGAACTGTTTAGCTGCGAAACTGTAACCTCAACTGCATTCATCTGAATTAGTAAAAACACCTTGCCGAGGGTTTGCTAAAGAGGAGGAAAAAGACAGTACAGTATTGGTACAGTTATTTTTTTTGCGGGTTGGCACCAGAGAATCTTCCAGCTCTGGTCCTGCCCAAGCCGAGCATCAACATTTTCAGATGGATCTCAGGGCGCTGTACTGTGACCAGCTCCTGTTCAGGAATGGGGAAAATGCACATTTCCCTACGTGGATAATGAAGTATATCTTAACAATTCTTTGTTTCCTAGACTATTTTTAGAATGGAATTACAATGATCTTACTTTTTTTTATAAAACAAACAAAACAAATTCATTCATTTGAAGCCTTACATTGTAGGGCTGGGCGATCAGGCAGGGCACAGAGCTGACATTGTTTTTTTGGAAACATATTGCTGTTCGTGGGTCCACAGGAGGACAAGCCCTTGTCAGCAACAACACAACCTTGGTTTTTTCAGCTGGGGGTAGAGTTGGATTAAGTGTCTTGCCCAAGGACACAACGACAGAAAACATCAGTGGGAGAATGTCTCATGGGGTGATTGAACCCACAACCGTCAGGCCCAAAAACCAATGCTCTTTCAACTGAGCTACTGTCGCATCAGGACTGTTCTGTTCTGGCTAAAAGTGGAGTCTGAACCCAACAAGAATCATGCACATTATCCTGACCTTGATTTCAAAATGTTTATGTTTTTTACAATGCAGAATAATTGTTTTAATTGAATAAATTGCCCTGCTCTATTTTATTGTGCTTCTTTAAATTCAAGGTTAAGGAATACAAATGTTTTACCCGCTGTATAGGGGTACAGTAACATCACTGAGCTTAAGCCACAAAATAGAAAAAAGTGTGCTATTTAATTTTGTATTCTCTGTCTAAACAAATGCTCAATCTCTATGCTTTAAAACAAATAAAAATTCTTAACTCTGTCAGACAGAAAGGGATTTGCCTTTTCCCCCTTGAATAATGCTCCACAACACAGTTTTAACTTTTGATTTCCCACCGCCCCTTAAAACAATCAGTTCAACAGTCACTTCTGAAAGACAGCAATTATAACAGACAATGAAAATAAATGATCACGTTTTGAAGGCTTAATTCGATCCCATTATAGAGCCGTCATGTCGGAGCCTGTGAACTGACCTCACTCATATCTCTGTGTCTTAATGAACAACTCTCTGACCTGTCGTCGAAACGCCATGCTAATTCTCCCCCGGTGCTTCCCCTCTTCTCCCCTGATTGCCTTTCTTTACCTGACATCGGCTACAGCGTTATTCCATTAGGTCAGGTAACTATCGCGATTTGGCTTGTCTGCGCTGGACTGAGTCATCTGGGCAAAATGTCACACTGTCACATTGGAAACTACCCCCAAGATTTATCGGAGCCAGAGCCGCAAGAGGCTAATGAACAGCACAGTGGACTCTCCGTAGACCAGGAGCGTTAAGCTCAAAAAGACTGGGAACTGGTCGGGGGCCGAAAGAATGTTCCCCGTGTTTAGTCCTGACTCTCGGCACCAGCAGCAGGACTAAACAGTTGTACTTTGGTGCAAGGCCACGGAAAGACTTGTGCACAGACAGAGTTACTTTAAAGTCTATTCTCTGACCCACAGGAAGAATAACGTCTTTCAATTATACGTTCAATTGGTAAAAAGTCAGACAATGACGTTTATAGAGTTGCATTTTCACGACATATATTGGCTACGATAAGACATTTAGTACTTTTATGACTTTTGTTACATGGAATACTGGATGGTGTTGGCAATTAGACCCAGCAGGAGTCTTGCACGATGAGGAATGATTTAAGATTATGAAAGTCTAGAACCTGGTGGCGGCGGAAGCTGAAGTGTTGAGCCGACGAGATGAAGGGTGATCTCCTCCTGTCAAAGTGGTGATGGGGAAGAGGTGGGTTACTGCACGAGCTGAGGCTAGCTGTGAAGTATTGTTAAGCTGCAGCCAATGAAGTGTGACAGCTGATTAGCCCGTAGTAGAGGGGGACATCTTCTATTCTGAACTCTCCCTTTCGATCAAAGTGAAATTGTCGTATTCTAATTTTTCTTCATTTTTGGTCATGGTTCCAGAAGCCCATTGTACCGATTATACAGTATTTACAATTGAAGGCACTGCAAGTATCATGACGTCTTTGGCCGAGATTAGACTTTTAATTGCAATCAAGATTTGAAAATGTTCAAGGATCAGTTTGCCCCTTGGCTTAATCAACACCAGCAGATTATAAGCCAAACCAATGGGGAGGGGGCTCAGGTGTGAGATCAAGAAAGCGGTTATGCCATTCCAGAAGCATGAATAACTGTGCTCTGATTAGAAATGTCCCTCTCTCTCTCTCTCTCTTCACAATTTGACAAGGATATGAAGGTTCTGAAAACGGGCATAGCCATAAAAAATGATACTCAGTTGGGATATTTGCTTTTATACATAAGGATTTCAATTAGGACTGAAATTTATATTTTTATTTTGGTTTCCATTGACTCCATCCTATACAAGGTCCTCCTCCTCACCTACCAGTCCATCAATAACCTGCACCATTCATACCTCACTGACCTCCTCCATCATCACTGTCCCTCCCACCGCCTCAGATCCACAGACTCTAACCTCCTCACTCCCCTCAGGACCAAACACTGAACCTTGGGGGACCGAGCCTTCACCGCAGCTGCCTCCACTCTCTGGAACTCACTCTCACAACCCATCAGAGACTCGCACTCACTACAGAACTTTAAATCACCTCTCAAAACCCACATGTTTCACCTTGCCTTTCCTTCGTTTTGTTCTTGAATATTTATTTGTGTATGTTTTGTAAAGCGTCTTTGAGAGTCCAACAAAGCGCTGTATGATAATGATGAATTATTATTGGATTTCCTTGATAGAGACCAGTACGTTTCATGAGCACGTTGCACTCTGAAACTATTTTCAATGTCTGTCCCTAGTTGGGCTTTTAAACATTGACATATTAGAATGATATACTGTATACACTTATTTGTCTGACCAATAGTCTTGATGATGATCCACCCGGAAGTAGAAAATCCTCCCACATAGCTTAAAGCATCATTAATATCTCATGACGTCTCTGTTCTTATGCACTTTGCTACAAATCATATAAAAAGCCTTGTCTACTCTCAATCTGGAAGGACTCAAAAACAAACCTTGTTACAGGTGCGATCGCCGCTGCCTCGTCTTCCTTTCTCAATCCAACCACATTGAACTTTCCAAATGACATCACATAAAGCCACTGCACATGACTTGTGCGGTGAACCCGAGCTGACTCCCATCTTTCCCTTCCGTCTCCTCAAATATTTTTTTCTTCTTCTATCCGCATTCTAAAACCCCGCTCTCTGGTCTTTTCAGAACGCCGATGCCAGCTACGACTTCAGCAGCAATGACCCGTACCCCTTCCCCCGCTACACAGACGACTGGTTCAACAGGTAAAGCTCAGCCAACCACCTCTTTTAACACACATACACGCAAACACACGCAAACACACACAAACGCACACACACACACACACAGTCCACCAGCTCTCTCCCGTTTTATCGATTTTCTCTTCACAAACTTCCATTAAGACATAATAGACCAGTATAAACAAAGCTGTTGTTCTGGGCCATCACAATAGAAAACCTTCTGGACATTTCTTGCCTCTGCACTTGGACAAGATAAGGATTAGGTTTTACTGCACTCAACCGCCGACTCCGCTTCTGATAACACCTCTTATCTCCCACATCGCTGGGTTAAGCCACTACCGTCACAAGAACTGAAAGAAGTCTATAGTTTAACTTTTAATTTAATTTACATGCGCTGTGAAAATTGATGAAAAACAAGTCAAGTGTCGCTCAGAATGGGCTAAATGTTGCTTAATTTGAGCAAATGTTTGTTGTAAAACAAGATTTGGCAATGGGACAAAGCAAAATGATCTTGTTTGAAAATTATACAAAAAATGACTCCCTTTGAATGAGAAAATAAAGCAACAGTTCTTGAAATCAGACTGGCTTTGTCCCAAATATTAAAAGATAAAAAGTAAAACCATTCGATTCAAGCAATTATTCCCTCATATTTCATAGTTATTTTATTGAATAATTTGGATGTCAAAATGTTAAATAATATCCATATATAGCTATAGAAATATAGTCATCTATTGTTTGTTTTTCTATAAATGTATTTTCAATGTTTTGTGTTTTGCTTTGTTTTATTTTACTTTTTTTGACACAAGGGGAGCATAGCGGGAAAAAAAAATGAAACAATAAAATAATACATACAGATTAACAAGATATTATATTATACTGGGAGAAAAGTGTGAACTAATGAAGATGACACACACAAAATAAATAAGTAAAATCTATCTTATCAAATCTTTCTTCTGTGGGGACAAAGGGACGAGAGAGGACTGTTCGGTGCCAGTTGAAGCAGTTGTTGCGGCTGACTGGCGGGCACAAATGAGCTGGCTAATCAGCGGCTTGTTATAAATAGAAGCCTGTCTGTCGCAAAGCATGCTGGGAGAGCGGCGTGGCAGCGGGCCCCGTGGGAGCGGTGTGATGGAGACGCAGATACACGGACAACTGATACAGGGAGCGGGATCGATCGCACGTTTGCTATTGAAATGCAGCGATGTGACAGAGAGAGTCAGTTACAGATTACAGATTACACATGTGTTTAGTTACAGATTACACATGTATTTACAGTGGGGAAAAAAGTATTTAGTCACCACCAATAGTGTAAAGATACAGGAAATAAAAAAATTAAATACATGTAAATTATGGTCGTAAAAGTAATTTAGTCAATAATCAAAATCTTTCAAAACTTTGTTATATACCCTTTGTTGGCAATGATATAGGTCAAACTTTCTGTAATCCTTAAATGTTTTTTATGAGCTTTAACCCATTTAACATGAGATTTTTTGTATTATATGTTCTTTTGATGTTTTTTTTATTTGCTGTATTATATTTTCATCTGTAGCACTTTGAGGTTTTGTAGAAAATTAAGGTGCAGTATAAAAAAAAGTCCTTAAAGTTTAAAGTTTTTAACATTTAAAAATGTTAAAAACTGGTCCTCCAAACTAAAAAAAAAGTGTTTCCTAACATATTTACAAAAAGTGAATAATGTACAGTAAGCAGAAGGCTCCGTGGGCTAAAGCAGACTCGGTCAGAGCACTGAAGAGAAAGTGCCGGAAGGCCGAGCAGAAGTGGCGCAAGTTCAACCTCCAGGTTGATTACAGGATATTCAAGGATAAGTTGTGCGAGTTTAACCGGGTGCTACGTAGTACGAGAGAAAGGTATTTTTCTGAAATGATTGAAGGCTGCAGTAACAATCTGCGTGTTCTGTTCTCAACAGTTAATAGATTAACAAACCCCCCTGTTCAAATGCCATTAGAGCTAACTTCCAAACGTAAATGCAATGAGTTTGCACATTTTTTCAATGACAAGGTTCAAGGCATCAAAAACGCCATTGTCTCCAATCCACAGATAACCATCCAACAACCAGAAAGGCTGGCTGACTTACTTTGCACCTGTAAATGATCAAACTGTCCAAGAGATAATCTCCAGTTTGAGCTCCTCCACATGCAGCTTGGATGTACTACCCACTAGATTTCTGAAGTCTGTTCTGAGCAGTCTGTTACCTTCACTCACACAGATAGTAAACATGTCCCTTCATTCTGGAATATTCCCAAAGGCCCTGAAAACTGCAGTCATCAGGCCCCTGCTAAAAAAGCGCAGTCTCGATGCTACGGTACTTAACAACTATCGTCCCATCTCAAATCTGCCATTTATTGGGAAAGTCCTTGAGAAAGTTGTCTACCTACAGCTTACTAGATTTCTTATAATCAACAACTCATTTGATATGTTTCAGTCCGGCTTTAGACCCCACCACAGCACTGAGAGTGCTCTCGTCAAGGTTACAAATGATATCCGGCTGAACACTGACGCAGGCAAAGTCTCAATCCTAATCCTGTTAGATCTGAGTGCTGCCTTTGACACCGTCGACCATGAGATCCTCTTACAGAGACTAGAGGACTGGGTTGGCGTCGCTGGCACCGCCCTAAGTTGGTTTAGGTCTTACCTTGAAGACAGGGAGTACTTTGTGGAGATTGGAAACTGTGTCTCAGATCATATGGCCCTGACCTGTGGAGTCCCACAGGGGTCGATCCTGGGACCTCTTCTGTTCAATCTCTACATGCTGCTGTTAGGACGCTTCGTTTCTGCGTATTAACTGACCTATCACAACTATGCAGACGACACTCAGATCTATGTCTCACTGACTGCAGGAGAACATGGACCAGTGGACTCACTCCTTCACTGTATCCAACAGATCAGTGAGTGGATGCAAAACAACTTCCTTCAGCTAAACGCAGACAAAACTGAAATGAGAGAGCGTCATCTGTCATCTACAGTCTCTCTCCCTAAAACCCTCAAACAAGGTCAGAAATCTAGGGGTAATACTGGACTCAGACTTAAATTTTAATAGCCACATCAAATCAGTAACATCAGCAGCTTTTTACCATCAAAAAAACATTGCCAGGATCAAAAACATAGTGTCTAAAGCAGACTTGGAGATTCTTATCCATGCATTTGTCTCCAGTAGGTTAGACTACTGCAATGGCCTGCTCACAGGTCTGTCCAAACAGGCTGTAAAACAGCTGCAGTACATTCAAAATGCAGCAGCTCGAGTCCTGACAAGAACCAGGAAGTACGACCACATTAGTCCGGTCCTCAGGTCTCTGCACTGGCTTCCTGTGGCTCAGAGAATAGACTTTAAAACAGCTCTGCTTGTTACAAGTCTCTCCATGGCCTCGCACCAAAATATATTAGTGACATGTTAGTCCCATATGAACCAGCCCGAACTCTGAGGAGCACAGGGACTGGACTGAACAAAAGGGAATTGTTAAAACCCACAGTTGGTCATTTTACAGCCAACCCCCAGACACCATCTTTAGTTTTTATTTACCAAATAAAATGCAGCCAGAATTTGGAGTTTGAACTTTCCCTCAGCAGAATGTGTTCCCACTTATAAATAAAGTAGATGAGTGATCCGAGGCCAAAACAACAGGACCTCAGCTTCACAAAGAGTCCAACTATTGAGTCCAAACTAAGGTTTCTAAAGCAGATTAAATTACAATATGTACAGATTTTTTCAATAGTTTTAGAGAAAATAGGGCTAAATGTCACACTGTCAAACGGGTGGAGTGGGTTGGCAAGAATACCTATTATTATTCATTTTTATTTCAGACTAAAATTCAATTGGTCCATATAAAAATAACAACAATAATATAACAATATACAATACAAACTATACAATCACATTCATGAGATTTAAGTTTGATTAATTTGAAATATAAAACCACGTGAATATGAGGTTTAGATGTGGGCATACTAAAAGATTGGCTATATTATGGATAGCAGAACAACTTAGTCCAAACAGAGGCATTGGTCAGGCATCTCTGAGAAACCAAACTCATAAAATTGTCCGGAAAATTGCCTCGAACGGTCAGGTGGCAACACTAACTGACATTATCCAAATCTTGTGACTGTGAAAAGGCAAAACAGCACACTTATCAAAATAAAAAAGGCTTATTTAACATAATCTCCTAAATCTGATCCACGCTCAGCTCGTTGTGATCCATGCGATGCATTTTTCTTATCCTGCTTTTTTTTTGTTTTTCCCGCAGTCACGGCACTCGATGCGCTGGAGAGGTGTCGGCCGCCGCCAACAACAACATCTGCGGAGTGGGAGTGGCTTACAACTCCATGGTCGCAGGTGAGAGACCATGCACTGTATAACACTCAGAGCCAGATCCCGTCAGACTTCTGAAGCTAAGCAGAACAGGGCCTGGTTAGTACTGTGATGGGAGACATCTGGAGTGGGGCGGCTGCTGCTGTAAAGTGCCAAAATGTCGTAGTGTCTTTTGGGCTAGAGACTCCACCCATATTGCCTAGAATGAGTCTGGTGTGTGTGAATGGTGGTTGGAGGGGCCGATGGCACATACTGGTTGCCTCGCTTCTGTCAGTCTGTCCCAGGGCAGGTTCGACTACAATAGTGGTTTATCACCACCGTGTGTGGAGTGAATGAATAATGTCATGTGAAGCATCTTTGATTGTCCTTAACCCATGTACTGCCAGACTGTTTTGATTATTTCACTGATCCTCAAGACCCACAGAATATTATTTCCCATGACTATGTGAAATGTGAAACCACATTCTGAAAGACTGTATTGTCTACTTTGATCAACAAAATAAGTTTGTTTTTAGCTATTTTTATTGTCCTGTAATCTCCAGTCGAAAAGAGGGTCTCAGACAAATATGTCAATGGCAGTCAAAGCGCGATATAAAACCAAAGCATTGTTTTAATTATTGTTTTTATTTTATTTTTTTATCATCGAGTGGTTTTATCTTAATTTCAGTACATTCTCGTCTTAAAACAAGAATTGCCAATGGGACAAAGCCATTTAGTCTTATATCAAGAATTTGTCCTATTGGCAAAGGCAAGGCAGTCAAAATGTTCCTTGTCAACATGAGCACACAAATGTATCTTAATGTGCTCAAAATATCATACATTTTGCGCAATTTTAGCATTTTTTCACTTTTTGCAGTGTGAGTAGAAGTACAGTGTTATGCCAAATTAGTTAGTGCCAAATAAAAGCCATTCTGGATGATCATTACTGTTGCTAGTGTACGGCTTTATCGACGTGAACGCCACAGGTTCAGGCCAAGTCCAAACACGACAACGTTATTAATCCAGACAGATCCTGCGTCTGCGCCATCGACTTTTCCTCAGATTGCACGCACTACAGTAGCATCGACGAGGCAAGAGGTATTGATTGTTTCGTTTGACTGCTGCTGCTGCTGTTGGCAATATTTCCTCTGATTTATGAAACGCAAGTCGATGAAAAAATCCCTGTTTGCAGTCTTCTTCTTCTTAGTACTTTGCTAACATAATTGAATGCCTTTTATATTAAGTTTCCTCCGGGTGCTCCAGTTTCACCTACGCATAAAATAAAACAAACATTCATATAATTTCTTAGAATTACTCATAGACTGTATATATTAACGGACAGAGTCACGCCTATCTCCGCCGGTCTAACTAATGGGCCAAAAAATTTGCTCTACTGGAGCAATAACCCTAACCCCTCAGCATTGACACACATGTGGAACGGAGCTTTGGGCCAAGAGCCAACTTTTGGTCCATCCTGTAAAGACGTTTTTAAGAGGTCTGCCAACGCTATATGTTAGCATTGGCTAATTCTTCTTCTGGGTCCACCCCCATCGGCCCGGGGTGGTATTGCAAGCATCTCAGCACACGTCATTTTGGCCACTTTTGAGCTGGGACCCGCCCCCACTGGAATTACTACAACATAGTATAGGGAAGACCCGGGACACGCTAGAGGGACTCTCAGCTGACCTGGGAACGCCTTGGGGTCCCCCCGGACGAGCTGGAGGAAGTGTGTGTGGATAGGGAAGTCTGGGCATCTCTGCTTAGACTGCGGACCCCGCGACCCAGCAACGGATGAAGTGGAAGAAAATGGATGGATGGATATTGTAGGGACGGTGATGTTGATCCAGGACTATTGTGATAATCCAGAACACACTAGCCTGGCCATAGCCATCCGTAGACTCCGCTCAATCATCATTTCACTGCATGTAACCGTCAAGGTCTGGTCCCTGTGTTAGCGATTACAATCGGTCGTATTTCGACCGGCTATTCAGAGAGCGCGGAGGAGGCAGGTTGTAGTTTGGTAATGGCGAAGAATGCGATAGTAAAGTAATCCGGTCTGGTTCTATCAAGAAATTGAAGCAGGAGCAAGAGGAATGTTTAGCAAATGTAATCGCTGGTCAAGATTGTGGCACTACTCACCACGGGCTCCGTTAGCGGCAAAGGAGATGGCTAGGCTAAATGCTAAATGCTAACAACAGACTCGGGCACACTACATATGTGACGGTAAACTCAGATCCAATCGTTTCAATCTGCAAAAGGAGTTAACCCCTCCCACCTGTTAACGGAGCACAATGGAGCAAATCCAGACCTTAGTACGAAATGTAATTTGTACTATGGTGTGGTACAACCAGGCTAGATCTGTGTTGGTGATTTCAATGGTTTTGTTAAGTCCTCTGAGATGACTGATCTTGTGACTTAGGGCTATACAAGAATCCCTTCCATAGGACCCCAATCATTTCAGTGGATTCTACAGCAGGACTAAAGCTACTCTGTTCCGGGCGCATGACAGGCAATACTCGTTGGGAAAGCTAACCATAAACAAGATAAGAGCAAAAACAATACACACAATAAACAGTTTAAAAAAACATTCATAAAAAAGTACAATAATCTACTACTAATTGCTCTTATACACAAGCGCAGTAAGTACACACAATACACATTTAGCAGTGCAGTAAAGTGACAGTAGCATAAAGTGTTCATCTCTCTACTTTTAACCTTAACTTGGTTTTATTTGTGTCTCTTGCACATGTATTCCAATGTGGTTTCACTAAAAATGACAAATAATTGAATCTGAATCTGTGATGGTCATAAAAGGATCTTTGTTGTAGTTTCCAGCCCAATGTCCTGTTTTAGACACAGGAGCAAACAATTCAATCAATGTGAGATTTAATGTTGCATTCTACAACCTGTTATTGTCTGGTCTAAGCCCCAGAATCTACAGCAGAATCTTCTCCCTCTGTTCCAGGAATCCGGATGCTGGACCAGCCCTTCATGACCGACATCATCGAGGCGTCGTCCATCAGCCACATGCCTCAGGTTATTGACATCTACAGTGCCAGCTGGGGCCCCACCGATGACGGCAAGACCGTGGACGGGCCCCGAGAGCTCACGCTGCAGGCCATGGCCGACGGAGTCAACAAGGTAAGGCCACATTGCTCAGAGAGAGAGAGAGAGAGAGAGAGAGAGAGAGAGAGAGAGAGAGAGAGAGAGAGAGAGAGAGAGAGAGAGAGAGAGAGAGAGAGAGAGAGAGAGAGAGAGAGAGAGAGAGAGAGAGAGAGAGAGAGAGAGAGAGAGAGAGAGAGAGAGAGAGAGAGAGAGAGAGAGAGAGAGAGAGAGAGAGAGAGAGAGAGAGAGAGAGAGACTGACAAAGAGAGACAGGGACACAGATAGAGAGGGACTGACAAAGAGAGAGACAGGGACACAGATAGAGAGGGACTGACAAAGAGAGACAGGGACTGACAAAGAGAGACAGGGACTGACAAAGAGAGACAGGGACTGACAAAGAGAGACAGGGACTGACAAAGAGAGACAGGGACTGACAAAGAGAGACAGGGACACAGATAGAGAGGGACAGAGAAAGACAGGGACTGACAAAGAGAGACAGGGACACAGATAGAGAGGGACTGACAAAGAGAGACAGGGACTGACAAAGAGAGACAGGGACTGACAAAGAGAGACAGGGACTGACAAAGAGAGACAGGGACTGACAAAGAGAGACAGGGACACAGATAGAGAGGGACAGAGAAAGACAGGGACTGACAAAGAGAGACAGGGACACAGATAGAGAGGGACAGAGAAAGACAGGGACTGACAAAGAGCAAGAGACCGAGAGAGACAGAGAGAGAGAGAGACAGAGACAGAGGCCTAGAAAGAAACAGAGAGAGAGAGAGACAGAGGCCTAGAAAGAAACAGAGAGAGAGAGACAGAGACAGAGGCCTAGAAAGAAACAGAGAGAGAGAGAGAGACAGAGGCCTAGAAAGAAACAGAGAGAGAGAGAGAGAGACAGAGGCCTAGAAAGAAACAGAGAGAGAGAGAGAGAGAGAGAGAGAGAGACAGAGGACAGACAGGCGGCAATAAGCAGGACCCGGTCTGGCAGAACAGTTTTATGTTTCACTTTATGTGCCGTAGCTGAACAATTAAATATGAATGTATCAAATGGGAACTCTCATTTGAATTCATGTTGGGAATTGCAATAGACACAACTTGCACACTGCTGTTTTGAGCATTTAAGCAATATGGCCAGTTGTCAACAAAAGTGTACTTACTTAAGCTGCGTACAGGATAGTCATGATGCGGAAAATAAACACACACAAAAAACAATTAGAAGGAAAGGCAAGTTTATTTGTATAGAACAGTTCACACACACAGTGCTGAAAAAAACAATAAACGTAACATTAAAATCACACAAGGCATAACAATTGCTAATAGTCACAGTGCATTTGAATGAGAGAAGTTGTATGCACAGCTACTAAGCAGATTATATATTTTTTAAATCCTGGATCGGAATTTTGTTAGAGTAGAAGCCTGTGTCACATTTTCGGGAAGACTGTTCTAGATTTTGGCTGCCTACATCTTAAACGACTCTGGATAAATCAAATCAAGCCTCACATGACCACAAAATACAGTTTTAAAGGAAAGATAAATTACTATAAAACTGTGGCATCTCTGCTAAAACAGTGATTTATTATTTAGAGATTTTGGGTATATCTTTGAATAATTATGATTATTAATGGTCAGTCAGGGAAGGTTTGGGTAGAGCCGCTGATTCTCCACCAAGAGTAGCCAGTGGGGGTGGCCCAAGCATCTGTTTGGGATGCCTCCTGTCCGCCTCCATGCTTGTCTCACCAGGAGGAAAAATCAGGGGGAGGACACGCTGGAGGGGACTGTTTAGAAAAGTCTGGACGCCTCTGCTTAGACTGCTGCCCTCACAACCCGGCAACGGATAAAGCAGAAGAATTTAGTTCGATGGTTTAAAGCAGAAAAGCTCAACATTTAACATAAACACATACTTTTACAACAGTAAATACTCGCTAAGCAGGCGACGGATATCAATGTGCACCTATGAATATTCTTTTACACCACATCCTGACTCCCAGTGATGTCTTCAAGCTGATGTCACTGATTATAAATTCACTTGTGCGTAACCCAAGGACACTTCAGAAAGGTCTCCCACACACACTAGCAGCTTGACGGATGTGAACCAAAATATACACACACAGAGACACATACAGGCACACACACACACTCACACACACACACACACCGGCACGAACACACACATACAGGCACAGACACACACACCAACAGACACACACTCACACACTCAGGCCCCTTCACTTTCAGAGTTGCCATGTAAACCGTGCCGCTGCCAATTTCCTGCCAGATTAGCGGTCACGCAGGCCGCGCTCCTGACAGGTGTGGTCCTCTGTCAAATGACCCGTCCGAGTCCAAGGCAAACCAAAAGTTTGTATTCATCCAGTAAAGTCCACAAAATGAATATTCTGCTCCTTCCGCACCTACGCCGAGGCCCCGAGAGGTCAAAAATAGTTTGGATTTGGCATTAGCCGGAGATGGAGTACATGCATATTAAAGTGGAATTACTGGGTTATAACATTTTCATCAGATTGGAGAAACCAATCGGCTGATTTTGCACGCAGAAGGAAAAGCACTTTGTTTGGGCAGAGCAGTGGGAGAGAGCCTTGAGCCAAGAGGTGAGCGGACGGATTTTTAAAACCTCTCTTTGCAATTCAATTAGGATTCATAAATAAAGCACATTCAGGCCTCTTGTGTTCCATTTGATCCTTTGTGCGAATGGGAAACAGGTGCTGCAGCTGCGGGAGACAGTGCTGTGAAAAAACAATATTACAGCTCTCTTATTTGTTTGCAGAAAGGTACAAAATACTAAAATACATCCAATGCAAGCTTTTAAGAGATCAGCTGTTAGAGTTTTCTTTTCGCATTCATACATTTTATAAGTTGTATTTATTGATTTCTGTATGTTAGAGGAATTTCTCCTGTATTCGATGGTCATGTTTTTCTCTCAAAGATTTTTCATTTGTAGATTATGATACATACTAGGCATTTTGGCCCAAAGCCAGATCTTCTGTTATGTCAGTACTTTCTTTTGATGATGTTTTTGTGTGGTAATTTAAAAGAAAGTCCAAGTTTATTTGTATGGCACAGTTCCTACACAAGGGAACCCCAAGTGCAACAATCATACAAGGCATTATAATCATAAATAATCACAGTACTTGCAAAAGAGAGAAGATTCAATCCTCTGGTTGTATGTGCAGCTAAACACTACTGTTTTTAACCTGGAGTAGATGCCTGTCTCACATTTTCAGGAAGATTGTTCCATATTTTAGATGCATTAATCTGAAACGCTGCCTCCCCATGTGTAGTTCTGACTCCGGGCCCCAGCAGGAGGACAGTCCCTGTGCTCCTCAGAGTCTGTGTTGGTTCATATGGAAAAATGTTTTTAGTCCAAGTCCCGCCTCTCTGAAAAACATACTCTTCCCACAAGGAAAAGTTTTATTTCATTTCTCGACCTCGACCTCCACGACTGACACAATGCGAACATGAGCTATAGGCCAATCACATTTTCAATTGGTAAAAACATCTCCCTTAATACATTAAAGGAGCAGAGGCACATCCAAGCTGCACATTTCAATGCAAAAGTTATCAGGCTTATTTATTAGTTTTAGATAAAAAGTTTGATTTAAATAATCAATGAAGTTATTCCTGCGCTTCAAAGATTAGATCTAGACTACATAATAGGAGATTATGTCATCTTTAAACCTGTTTTCATAAAAAGGTAGATAAAGTCCTTGTCTGTTTGGTGAATCTCATTAAAAACAACTTTGACTTTAGATAACATCTGACAATTATTTTTTGGCCGCTGTCTCCATTGTCTTTCATGTGAACTCCAGTCTTTATCTACCAAAGCTGATCTGTGTTTGTGATGTGGTCCCAGGGCCGCGGGGGAAAAGGCAGCATCTACGTGTGGGCTTCCGGAGACGGGGGTAGCTATGACGACTGTAACTGTGACGGATACGCCTCCAGCATGTGGACCATCTCCATCAACTCGGCCATCAACGACGGACGCACGGCTCTGTACGACGAGAGCTGCTCCTCCACCCTCGCCTCCACCTTCAGCAACGGCCGCAAGAGGAACCCTGAGGCTGGCGTGGTGAGTGGCCACAGCACGCTAAACACAACACCTGAAATATTAGGATTATTATTATTTATTATTTTCAAATTACTTGATGAGAGTGACACAATGAGCAGCACAGTGGTGCAGTGGTTAGAGCTTGAAGCTCACAGAAGGTAGGTCCTGGTTTTCAAATCCACGTCCAGGAGTTTGCATGTTCTCCCCTTAATGCGGAGGTTTCCTGTGTGCTCCGGTTTCCATTACCACTAAAAATATGTACAATAGGTCTGATATGTGTTTCCTGTTCGGCGACCTCGCTCCCATCTCTGTGTGGAGTGAAATACAAAAGCCCACAACGATTCTAAAACGCTTTATGACTCTGGTCTGTCAAGACCCTAACCCTGTCAAGGCGCTATACTAATAAAGATGACTTACTTACTTACGTTGAGTCTCATGCAGGAGGATCACTGCACATTGACATAAACAGTCTGAACTGCATAGCAAACAGGACTTTGAGAAAAAAAAAGAAAGAAAAAGAGACTAAAGATTCAAATGATATGAAAATGTAATTTGTGCAATGAGTTAGTTACAATTATTCTTCAACTGACATATGGTGAGTGTTGGCTTCAAGATTGATACAAGATTGGATTTTGCCATTTTTATGTTTCAGACATTAAATCTGGGGTCCTTAACTGTTCCATAAATTTTTGTTTAAAAACCTGTACATCACACTTTTACAGAACACAAAAAAGTCAATTTTGAAAAGGGGTTGGATGAAAAAAAATAATCCAACCCCTCCTTCCTCGGATTTGGACCAAAAACGTCATACAGTAAATAAACAATAAAAAAGCCATTCAAAATAAAAATTTTGCAATAAATGAGATATGGGATGATTCCATCGGTAGCAAAATAATACAAAATATATGTTTACTCATGACATACATGATTGTAGCAGGACTGGTTCATTGTTCAGCTGTGAACCCATTTCTGGAATATGAACAACTCATTACCAGCAGTGTCACCTCCATTTCCATGCTCCCCTCATCGTATGCAGCCAGAGATTTCACACATAATGCCCTCTCCCTATAGCTTTCACGCCACTGCTGCTGCTGCTGCTGCTTCTGCTGCTGCTGCTGCATTCCAAGTCGTACATATTGCTTTTGGCAGACGTGGCCTCGGTCCTCACCTGCATCTCAAATGGCTGTTTCCATATTTGCTGCTCTGGCCCACTGTCAGGAATGGGGATGAGCCCAGGTATAAAAGCCTGATTGTTGTTGCACTGTAATTGCGGGCTGTTTCAGAAATCGCAGGTTCAGGTGCAGGATTAGCCGCCGCCTGATTACTTGGAGCCGTGTGTCGCCGGGGTTTATGAGAAGCAGTTTGTCGATCGGGCCTCAGGTAGAGTAGAATGGCAACAGTTCTGGTTTATTGTCATGCTTTGATGAATCAGACAAACCTCTTTAACGTGATGTATTCCTAGAGCTATTCACTACTCAGGGGGTATCACCCATTGAAGCAAGCTCAACCTCAAGAATCAAGGAGACACTTAAAACCACCATTTTATTTATTTTATTAGTTTATTTGACAGGGACATTGTGCTTTATTACACATTTCTGTAAAGGAACCAGAAGTAGCCAAGTGTAAAGGCTATTTTTCATCTGCAGTTTCTAAAGATAATAACATTAAAATGCAATAATAAAATACTGTAACACATAGAATGTAGGGCGGAAAGTTAGAAAAACATCACACAATCACAATATAAAAACTCAGTTCACATACAACAATAGTTATTTACAAAGCACTCAGAAAAGCAGAGAGACACTAGAAGCAAAGACCTAGAATAATGCTTACATGTCTGCGGTGTTATTAACCAGTTTGTAAGATGTATTTTGATTAGTTAGTTCGTCTCCATCTCCACGTGTTGATTTGCGGTCAGGATTTTCTCTGATGCACATGTTTTTTTTTAGCTGTGGTCCACTCAGAATGGCCCTGTTCCAACTGGGGTTCGAACCCAGGACCTCCTGTTCAATCTTCCATAATGACCTTAAGTCCTTTATTCATCCCACAGTGGGGAAATGTCAGTGTTGCATCACCGGGTACGGAACAGCAAAAAAAGAGGAACAATAGCTCTGTGCGTGAATAAAATCTCTGATGTTAGCAAAATGAAGAAGCAAGTATAAAATCTCTAGCTTTAGCGTCATAAGGAAGCAAGTCTAAAAACACCAACTTTAGCATAATGAAGAGTATAAAATCATGATTCTGTAAAAAGAGAAGCAAACGTAAATGTCCACAAATGTAGTTAAGACTTCTGCAAAATGCACTCATTCAGATCTTCAGTATATCAGCCCCATGGTGTCATTAGTGAACCTCTACATCTTACTGACCTTAAGATGTACATTTTACATTTTGCCTTCGTCACGATTCTTTCATTTCACCTCATACTCCGGTCATGTGTGTCGGTTTAGAGGTCATTCCCCGAGAAAGTCAAAAGACCGTCTCATGCGGAGGGACTACAATCAGACCTGACCTTCGCGGTTAATTCTGCAAATGGCTCCTTGTGATATGACGGTAGACTGCGACTGCACACTTTCATTCAAATAGTGTGTGTGTGTGTGTGTGTGAAAAGACTTTCCCAGTGATTATGCAGACGACCCCTGGCTGTTGACAGAGGCATGGATCCTCCCCTGGGTTTCCCCTCCTCTAATTGCATTCAATCTGTTATCCTTTTTAATGAAGTGGGAAATGAAATGAGAAATAGTCTAGACAGAACATAAACAAAAGTTACAGGCTGCTATGGAGAGCAGAGCCGCAGAAAACCACTTGTGTGAGCGATTTAAAGATGTAGTTTTCTCGTTTTGGTTTGATTAGTATTGATTACATTGATAATCAGTCTGTATTTCCATCTGGGGAGACTCAGATAAAAGGATGTATCGGTGATGGTTATGTTTGCTTTGAGCAGATTGGGTACTACCCATCTAGACACTGGTAGACATAGTTTGGTAGTAGAAGATATATTTTGTCATTTTGGTGTATGAAATGTTGGATATGGTTTTAGTGCCAAGACCCCGCAGAAATATTATTTAATGTATGCAGGAGGGAGTAGATATGATAAAAGCAAAATCCCCAGAGATCCAAACCTTGTGGTGTTGAAGGCTGAAGTTATGAGCCACTGTTGAGGTGGTGATGGGGAGGAGGCGGGTTGCTGCACCAGCCGAAAGCATAGTGCAAATCTTCAAAATATACTAAAGATTTTGTACCCAAATACATTTATTTTTAAAGTGCGACCATGAAAATTTCCATTTTGATTTTGATTGAGCTTGTTTGTGGTCTGGCTTGGTGGAAGTTAAAGGGTTTTCAGAGTGGCAAAAACCACAAAGAGAACAAAACAAGTATAGGCACTTGGGCTCAAAGCAGAGGTGACTGTGATGTCCCTGTTTTACGTTGCTGCTTTTACTAACCTGCTTTTTATACTTTTGAAGTTTGAACGTGGCTTTTAATACCTCATGCTCAGTTTGTTTACGGCTGTGACATCAACCTGCCCTGGGACTACAGATGGAACTTCGCCTTCATGGCTAAATCTGGCATATTTACATGGACATATGTTGATTAATATGCACTGTCCCATTCACATAAATAACTAAACACTTATACCATAGTTAAACTACTTCTGAGTACCATCATTTACTAAAAAGGTACGCAGTTTTATTTTGTTTTGTTTAGAGACTTTGTAGAAGAGTTTAACCTTGATATTGAACTGTAACTGTGTGTAACTGTGTGTGTGCAGGCCACCACAGACCTGTACGGGAACTGCACCCTGCGTCACTCTGGAACGTCAGCAGCGGCTCCAGAGGCAGCAGGAGTCTTCGCTTTGGCCCTGGAAGCAAAGTAAGTCAAACCTCACTTTTATGTCCTAATAATGCATCACTTTTATGCAACGCTTTGCAGGACTCTCCATGTAGCGTCGTAACTGGTTTCGTCGTAACTGAAAGACGCTGTGAAGCAGGTTTATAGTTTTCTCCATCTCTTAGGAGGGGAGAAAATGCAAAAGTCAAAATTCAGATGAGATAAGATTGTCCTTTATTCGTGCCACAGTGGGGAAATTTCAATGTCATCGTTGTGCACAGCAGAATAAAAGGAGGAAATAAGAGAACTCAGATTGCACACATCAAACAGGATCCATTTGTTTATGATAATAACATTAAAATAGTAAAATAATAAGTAATAGATAATAAAATAAACTCTGGAGCTATAATTGCACTGTAGAATGCACATTTATAGATGTGTATATTGTACTTTAGCAGTAGATGAGCAGAATAAACAATAGTAATATCAGCAGGTAAAGTGACTAGTAAATGACAGAAATATCAGATGGTTATGTAATAATGCAGTAATAATAACAGATAAAGTGACTTATCAGAACAGGTGAGTGGCACATAGACTTAGCAGTTCTCGTTGTACAGTCTGACAGCAGCAGGGAAGAAGGACCTGCGAAACCTCTCCTTCACACAGCAAGGATGAATAAGCAATAATAAAAAGTAAAATTCAGACAAAAGGAGATTATTGTAGGACCATGAATCTTTTTTTCTTTTTTCACAATCCATCATTTAACCAAATGTCTTATTTATAACAAAAAGAAGTGTAAAAACGTTCAGTGACGTCGCCCACTGAGCAGACTCAGCAGGCGTCTTCCAAGGCCTCGCTTTGTAGAAGAGCTTTTACCATAATCACTGGCTGTGTGCTTTCCATACAGCACACTTCATCATTTATGTGTTTCTTATGGCATGAAACTGACACAAAGAGCTGCATCCATTATCCAACAGTCCACACAGCCAAAGTAGATGATACGACTTCGAAATCAGGCAAAGTGAAAATCATTCTCCCAGTGAGCAGCGTCACCTCGTCACCTTTAACCACGTGGAGTAATCGTTATCCGCTGCTTTCAAGGCCTGTTGTGTCACTTCTCCATCTCTCTCACTTTTCACTGCCTTTGGTGCCGTCTGCTCTTTACTTGTTGTTTAATGTTCTGATGATGATATTTTTTCATACATATACTTAGTGTGCAGACAGGTTTTTCACCATCGGCACCTGTGATCTGCTTCTACTACACTGGCACTCACAAACAGCACTGAAGTTTTCAAATAGAAATGCTATTGTATTTGTATAGAAGTGGGGAATTTCTATATCTATATCATATTTATATATACACAAAATATAAATATATATACAAAATATATGAGCAAAATTACAAATCAAAACACAAATAAGAAAGAATGGTTTTAGCACGTTCTGATGCTTATTACTGCTTTCATTTGTGTTCTTCAGTGGAGGCCAAATGTCTGCTTCATGCATATATGTGTTGGGGGTCCTGGCCTGAAAGTTTAGGAACCCCTGGTATCCAGTAAATTATCATTTTTAACTATAACAGAGAAAAAGTACAGACTATTGTTTGGAATCAGCCAAAGTCTGGGATCGTGTCTTTAATTCAGACAGAAGACATGTTTTATTGTCAATGGTAGAGACAGCACAAACACATGAACAAGGGATGTTACAGACAGCAACTGGAGAAACAGAGTCCTCCAATCAGCAGCTGCCACGGTGTGATTGTAGCTAGGCCTTCAGAAAGACAAAACAAGCAGTGGAAAAGTACAAGCTTCTGCATATAAGAATGAAGTTAGAACTTTAACCATAGTTGCTTAGAAGTGTTATGAAATCACTACATTCCCCCCTCATCAGGATCGATAAACAGCAACATAACATCATAACTCAATACTTCAAAAACTCATAAACTGATAAAAGATGTTCAGATCTTTCATAAAACTCGTCAACAATCTTCAGTAAAATACCAAACTTCATCAGTCGATGGTTGTTCCAGATATTGCTTTGAAAACAGTCTCTCCCACTTCTCCGTGTTGGTTTCTTCAGGCTGCATTTGTGTCGAGCCATGAACTCCACTGTGACGTGTCTTTCAATCACACGTTTCAGCTTTAGTGTCCAGATTCAGCAATCCAATTCAGTCCAAATTATGTCCAAATTCAGAAATCCAGATTGTTCCAAATTGTTCCAAATTATGTAATCCAATTGTTCCAAATGATGTCCATGCAAAAGGACGATGGTATTGTCCATGTCTCAGCAGCTCACAGCAGGCCTGACTGGAATCAGGGGCTGAGCAGATGCATGGTTTTTCTTGAGAATTTTCAGTTCTGTCTTTTTAAAAAAGAACACATTTTTGTGTAAAAAAAAAAAAGATAGTTACAGACAATGCCCGCATCCTTCCACCACCTGTTAGGAATCAGCCAAAGTCTGGGATCGTGTCTTTAATTCAGACAGAAGACATGTTTAATTGTCAATGGTAGAGACAGCACGAACACACGAACAAGGGATGTTACAGACAGCAACTGGTAATATACTCAGGAGAAACAGAGACCTCCAATCAGCAGCTGCCACAGTGCCAGCAGAGATAGTTAAAATAAGTAGTGGAAAAGTACAGCCTTCTGCACATGTAAGACTTAAGTTAGAACTTTAACCATAGTTGCTTAAAAGTGTTATGAAATCACTACACTATCTTTAGACTAAAGAAAATGTTTTCGTGACACTTAAAAAAACGAAAACATGTGACATAGTTTGCCACTATAGTTTCACACTGAAATATTGTTACTTTGGTTGTAATCTACCACAAAATGGGATTAAACATGATAAATATTTCAACATAGAAGGTTCTGTAGATAAGAGTTGTCCCCCAGAACGTGCTGTTGCTTTAAAACCACAATTAAAGCCGCAAGCGGCTTCGAACGGGCCTCGCCGCACCGCGCGCACCACCCCGCATCAAGCCGCTCCGCACCAAGCCGCCCCGCACCAAGCCGCCCCGCACCAAGCCGTCCCGCACCAAGCCGCTCCGCACCAAGCCGCCCCGCATCAAGCCGCCCCGCATCAAGCCGCCCCGCATCAAGCCGCCCCGCATCAAGCCGCCCCGCATCAATCCGCCCCGCATCAAGCCGCCCCGCACCAATCCGCCCCGCATCAAGCCGCCCCGCACCAATCCGCCCCGCACCAAGCCGCCCCGCATCAAGCCGCCCCGCACCAAGCCGCCCCGCACCAAGCCGCCCCGCACCAAGCCGTCCCGCACCAAGCCGCCCCGCACCAAGCCGCCCCGCACCAAGCCGCCCCGCACCAAGCCGCTCCGCACCAAGCCGCCCCGCACCAAGCCGTCCCGCACCAAGCCGCCCCGCACCAAGCCGCCCCGCATCAAGCCGCCCCGCACCAAGCCGTCCCGCATCAACCCGCCCCGCATCAACCCGCCCCGCATCAAGCCGCCCCGCACCACGCCGCACCACACCGTACCACGCAGCACCGTGCAAAGGAGGTGGGGCCGCCGTGTGATGATTTGTTGCTGTTGCCATAGAAGAACGTTAGTCAAATTGTAATGAATAATGATTAGAGCTGTTTGGCACCCCATTTAAAACTTTGCCTCAATCTGTAGGGGGCGCTATTGGGCCAATTTCAAATATTTCACTTTCACCTGACCTAAACCCTGGAGTTGAACATTGGATTCAAGTTTTGTGCAAATCAGACTTTGTTTGTGCAAAGGAACAGGACAGACATTGACAATGGGCTAGCAACAGGGGGAGAGGAGCACAGGTACAGGAGCACAGGTACATATAGACACAGGTGAAACACATTAGGGCATGGCAGACAATCAACACAGGGGGACAGGAAGTCAAAATAAAACAAAACCACAGAACTGAAGTCAAAATCAAGTACAAAAATAAAATCCAGACACCTCACTTTTCAGTTTCCAACACTAGTTTTCACATGTGTGTATTTTTTTTTTCCTCCGTCACATCTATAGATCAGCTCTAAGCCCAAAACATCAAATAGTGACTCACAGGGCCATTCTTAAAAGTCTGCATGATGTTTTCTTTAATCCTTTTATCAAGCCTCTTCAATCCTCTTTCTAACGAGACACACACATGTTATTTAGTTTGTGGAAGTTAGGAACCCCAGCTTTAAACGTCAAAGTTTATATAACCATATTGATCTGATCCATTAAAGCCTCGCATGACAGTTGCTGACACACCAGCGCGGGGCCCCCCTATACTTACCGCGAAAACAAGCGCTTTATACTGCGTTATAAAACCGGCCTAATGAGTGTTTGTCAGGAGGCTGCGTCTTCCTTCGTCGCTCCATTTCTCACTCTAAACGCCACCGCCATTAGCCGGCCGCTGACCCAACCAAGCCCCACTGTTTACCGAGCACACAGGATAATGATGTGGCCGTCGTGAGGAGCGGACCACCCTCCCCCCCCACTCCCTCCCACCCTGTCCCCGTGCAAACAGCTCTACACGCAGTTATGGAGCGGGTGCACAGCCTTTTTACTGCCCAGGCACGGCCACGGCAGGACCGAGCTGTCAGCGCATGCGGCGGCGATAATGAAGGCGGGAGGACGCAACACAAACACGCCGATCCCAGCACCACACTCCATTGTAGAGATGGTTGCTCTTTATGGCCGTTTGGTTATGATTATACAGTTGGTAATTGTCATTAATGGCCTGTTGCACATTTTGTAATCTGATATTACGCCGTGTTGATTGCATTATCAACTCTCCAGCCTTCGTGAGTGGAGGCAATTCCAAATGGGCTTTTTGGTTTTGTTTTTTGGAGGTTTTTGGTTTTTTATTACATGCTTGACAGTTACTCTTGAAAACATCAAACAAAAGTATTCATGTTGTGCCCCTTACATCAGCTCATATACTGTCACAAATATGTTATCTCCAGTAGGCAATTCTAGTCAAGTCTTGGATGTTCAACAAAAATATATATGTATCCACTGTATCCAAAAGCGCATCAACACATGTTTGTCTGGTTCACTTTAACTGGAACAATTCAGGAGCAACTGGGGTCTAAATAATAGAACATTAAAAAGAAACAGACCTTTGAAATATTGTTTCCCAAAGTAAACTAGACTTTTGTCCTGTTGTATCAGTCGTACTAGCAAGAATATATGATCTAATTCTGATGTGGGTCGTCTGATTTGATTTTCAGTAGAAATGATGTGTTCTATTTTATGTGAATGCCATTTTCTTCCGCTTGTCCCCAGCCCTGCGCTGACCTGGAGGGACATGCAGCATCTGTCAGTGCTGACGTCCAAGAGGAACCAGCTCCATGACGAGGTGCACCAGTGGAGGAGGAACGGCGTGGGGCTGGAGTTCAACCACCTGTTTGGTTACGGGGTGCTGGACGCGGGGGGCATGGTGAAGATGGCCAAGGAGTGGAAGACGGTCCCAGAGCGCTTCCACTGTGTTGCCGGAACCATCCAGGAAAACCAGTAAGTTCACAATCATGCACTTTACGATAGTGGCTTGACTTTATATGATGTTGACTCAATATCAAGCTGTGCACCATTATGTTTCTCTGGAATGAGTGTAGAATATATAGTATTATATAAGTATATATATATAATGACAGTTAAAACTGTCCCAAACGTTAAAACTGTGAGTTTTAACGTTTGGGACAGTTTTAACTGTCATTATAATATAATGACATTCTTTCGGAGTAAGTTTAGGTAGATATGGCTTAACGGTTTACATACATATCATAAGTTATTTGTTTGTGAAACTGATGAAGCAGCTGCTGCTGCACAGATCAGACAGGCAGCCAATAGGAAGCAGGGTTGGGGCGAGGGGGTGGAGCTATCACCTCTCAGGTGGAGAAGATTGCAGCCACTCCCCTCCTTTCTTTTTTTAGAATAAAAGGATAGAGGCTTTGAGTACTGAACTTTTAAGACCCATTTAAAACTCACGGACAAAAGACGGCTGACAGTAGGTATATTCACGTTTATTCAACATGGCTGAACAGAAACAATGAATAGTATGAATGCAATGGACATGTGCAATAGTGGGTTGTGTGCAATAGATGTGGATATGTGCAACGGTTTCTGTTTTCAAAAACAGTTTTTAACTTCTGTATTTTTATATAATTCCCTAGGACTGCAGATGAAAATTAGTCTTTGGCTAAAATAAATAAATACAAACGCTCAATCCTAGAAGCGCTGTTTTCCGCCTGTTGTGAAACGATTTCTGAAGCTCTTGTTTTTCTTCCGCAATAACAATCCTCCGACATGACATATTTGTGACACACCCGTCTTCTCTGAGCTAAACATATTTCAGTTTTGAGAGCAAACAAAAAGGCACCGTCTCTGTAAAAGCAGAATAATGCCACCGTTCTGTTTGCGCTCAGTTAAAAGCAGATTTATGTTACTCTCAGAACCCAATCGCTCACTGTTGACGCAGAATTAGCTCCGGCGCGATGGCTTGACGTTGATGAAGTACCGCTAATGGTGGCTTCTCCCTCTTCATGCTATTTTAAGCTGAGTGTCATTTGCCGTGTTGTTTTATTTTTTCTCCCCTCGCCAGTTTTCGCCGGTTTCCAGGGAAGCGCCACAGGGATGCTACTGCCTCCATTGTAGTCAAGCTATAATTACAACAAGCCCAAGTCGGATGATAGTGTTGATCAGCAGAGTAAAAGGGGAATAAACAGAACAGCAGTGATCTGATCGCTGCACTGGCGCCGGTTATAGCTGGAGGAACACTTTCCATTATCAGTGATGTAGTTTGGCACGGTGTATCGGCGTGTTTTTGATTCTGCCCGGCCCTGCCCTTCGGAGGCATCCCTCGCCCCGTGTCCTGACCGCTGCTGTAATTACTGCTGCGGGCGCTTATCTGATGGGAGGCCACTACCTGCTGTGCGCTAAACCGTGGCGGGATCCTTTTGATCTACTGCTTTTAATGCATTATTTAAACTTTAAACAGGCTAGTGTATGTAGTTGAAGTGAGGGAAAGGCAGAAGCAAAACGCCAAATGGGAAGTTTTTATTTTGTGTAAGAAGCTTGTGAGTGGTTTTGAAGTAAAACTGTCTTAATTCTGACTGTTTTTTTTTTACTTCATGGCTTTACCTCTGATATGTTTTATAATGGTTGCAAATGTGTATGATTTAGTATGTCTTTGTAAAGCACTTTGGGTTGCACTGCATGAATCGTGGTGTATAGATTTGATTGATTGGGGCTCATCTTGTTTGGTCAGGTTGTAAACTTATGTGGATATTAAAATTCCATTCTTCCCACATGGAAAGAGAGGAATTCAAGTCGGAAATTCTTCTCGGGCTGGATTGGTTGAGTTCCTGAGTGAGAGATTTGATTGGATGAAAGAATAAACTGTTTTTGTCAGACTGATGGTTTGAGTTTGAAAAAGTTTAAGCAGAAGACCAAGATTTAAAATGGTGGATTTTGAAGGTCTCTGTGCTTTTCTGAACGCGCAAAGAATCAGTCACATTTCTGCACATTTCTGTTTGGATTGTTGTCGCTGCTGCACGTGCGACACCAGCGGCACCTGCTCCTCGGCTCTGATTTTGGGAAGTCTGAAGATGACATGCAGTGATGGGCAAGCTACTTGATTTGTGTAGTGAGCTAAGCTACAAGCTACTGTACAATACATTCAGCTTCACTACACAGAAGCTACCACCCATACAAATGTAGCAAGCTAAGTTACAAAATTCTGTCAAAAGTAGCTTGCTATATAGAAGCTATTTTCAATTAAACAAACTGCAGTTCATGCAATTTTATATTTTCCTGCATTAACATGTTTGCTCATTTCTTATTTTTTGCACAATTCTTGAGTGTTTTATCCATGCCAAATGTGACATGTAAATTTCTCCTGTGTGAGATTAATAAAGCTTATCTTCTTATTTGAGATAAACTGTCAGTCAGATAAAGGTTAAAATGTTGTAGATATTTATTGAACAATAGCCCAAAACACCAAAAACAATGAGCCATCACAAATTACTGTTTTTATAACAATATACATTATAACAAATGTGAATAAGTGCCATTATTGGCTGTATTTAAGCAAGAATGGCCTCTGAAATTGGACAAAAAAAAGTTTACATATGAATTGTGTCTCTTATCTGTTTACTAAAACAATAGTAACAACCATCATACAACCTTATTATTCGTAAGTTACAGAGATTGATGAAAGGGAAATAGCTTCAAACAGTGAAAATAAATGTCTTCTAAATATTTCGTGTGAGGTGTGTGTGTGTGGGTTTATGTGTAGGGCCCACTCTCAACTTTTTTTCACAACAAGTTTGTTTGTTTACACGAAACAAAAGAAGCTTACCTACAGAGTAGGCATCTGAAAACATATTTTTTTTCGCTCATCTCGACTAGAGTGACGTACTTTTGGAGGTATGGCCACGGTACAACACTTTGAGAGTCCTTATCATGGTCCTCCTCCACCGCGGCGGCTCCTGGGCTCTCTGCCATGCTTTTGCTTCCCCCAGTAGCGCGCGCGCATGTGTGTGCGTGTGTGTGTGCGCGTACGTTTGTGTGTGTGTGTCGTTACCAAGCCCTGCGCATGCGCATCAGCATTCTGTCTTTCTATATGTTTGTTTTATGCTGCGGGAAAATGCTGTAATATATGAACATCAGAGATGTCCGTGAGAAAATAGCTTTGGCGGACGCTACCGCGCTACTTGAGCAATAATATAGCTTAGCTACAGAAAAGTTACTAGGTTTTGTAAATAGTGACGCTACTGTCAAGCTACTGAAAAAAGTAGTTAAGCTAGTAGCGACGCTACTTGTAGCGACGCTACTGCCCATCACTGATGACATGTTATATTTTTGTATTTCCAAGTTTCCGATGTTGCATGAAAGTGGCATATTTTCTTATCTAATGTGTTGGTTTGTGTCAGTTCAAATGCTTTATGGTCATGTTGGTGCTTAACCTGCCGTCAGTTAGAACGAGTGTCATGTGAAAGTGTTGATACAACTTTTGCACATTGTCATGAGACAACCAAAAAACAAATGTTTGAGTTCTGATTTGTTTTTCTTCTCAAAGACACAACTGTGAAGTGAAAGCCAAATGGGGGGTAATCATGCAGCATTTCTTTGAGTGCTTTAAAAAGCCTTTGAAAATGAAACTTGCCCTAACCATTAGAGCCTACCGAAGATAAAACTTTATTGATCTCACATTTACATGATACATTTGGCTTCAATAGGAGCATTTCAGAGTGAGCAAATAGGACATGTGCAAACAGTTAAAGTATAAAGATATAAGATGTGAAGTATCTTCTGTGCAATAGAGGTAAAACAAAAAATCTTATGTCCAATTTGATCTACTCTCAGTATAAATACAGTTGTTCTTTTAGATTTTTGTTTAATCTTATCCAAACAAAAGGAGTGCAACAATATCAGAGTAGACTGCAGATGGATTCCAGGTGAAGGAACGAGCAACAGGTGCAGATGGTTTGTCCCAGAGAGAGAGCAGGAGGGGAGAACTGGGATCATGTCAAATGTATTTCCCAAAGAATATAAGCAAGAATTAGCTCGCTGTGCACAGTCTGCCTCTAATCAAGTAAATGTATATGTGTAGGCACGAAGCACAACAGCAGTGGTCTCCAAGGGTAGTCACATTATTGTTGATAAAAATGTCAATGTCTAAAGGTGTTTGAGTTTTTGATATTCTTAGATGCCACTTGAGCTGCAAAGAAACATTCGGTTTTATTTCTAGTTCTGCATTTTGGATCCTCCTTGTTCTTTAACAAAAAAAATTCAACTTTTTATGTCTGGGTTTTACTGGGTTGAACTACAGTATTTAATATTTTTGTCCTGCTCTCTGACTTCCTTTTCCCATTTCACATCCTCACACTTTTATTGCCATTTACGCTCACCGTTAACAAAATATAAGCTTATATTTCAAAACAAATTGATCCGACGGTTGTAGTTGCCGCGTTCAAACCGTGAGGAGCCTTTCCCGACCAAGCACCGTGTATGTGTTATATTAACAACCTGCTGAGAATTGTCCTGTTTTTCTTGGAATTGTAATTCTCATAATCAGCCTTTAGCAGGTCTCGCACACAGCATTTGGTCTCATTAATCATTTGTCTAAGTGACTGCTTTTGCACACTGGGTCAGCGCTCCAGAGCCTCTTCCTCCTCTTCCTCCCCTCCACATGTGACGCAGCCTTCTGTCTCTGATCGTGTTATTAAGCCCCTGCCCGACACCCCTTTCCCGCTGAGTTCTTACTTTTCTTTCCATCACGAGCCGAGATGGGATCAGCAGTGCGCCGTCTGCAGCCACAATTCAACAATAGACGCAGCTCTTTCCGGACAACACTATTCCCACAAAGACAGATCCACCCTCTGTAGTCCACAAGCAAAATCTGATCTTTCTGACCTTCTACTACATGTAGTAGAAGGTCAGAAACTGTAATTACCTTCAACTCGTGAGGTTAATACTCCTTTCTGAAGGGTATTGCATTAACGCAGCTAATCACACATTCCGCTGCTGCTGGGATATTCTATGAAAGGACAGTAATCATTTATGTGCTGACCCTCTCGTAGTATCGCCATGGCTACGATGGACATGTTTGTGTTCATTACTGGTAATGGTCCGAATGGTTGTCTATGTAAGTGGTGTTTATCTGGAATAATCTGTGAATATGTAATGTCGACAACAACTCAGAAACATTTTATCAGAATTTAACCAGACAGAACCTGGTCATTAAACGAGGAGCTACTTAAGCTTTGTTATGGAAATGATTGTAATAACAAACCTATTTATGTCATGGTGTGGATTTAGTTTTTATTTTGAGTTCTTCAATGAATCAAACTTTATTTATAGAGCGCTTTTCCTACACAGGGCAACACAAAGTGCTTCACAGTCCACACTACACAAATCACAAATGCATCAGTTTTTTTGGACAGTCAAAGACGCTTTACATGTCATTATTCATTCACTCCACACACGGTGGTGATAAACTACTACTGTAGCCACAGCTGCCCTGGGGCACACTGACAGAAGCAAGGCAACCAGTATGTGCCATCGGCCCCTCTGACCACCACCAAACATTCACACACACACCAGACTCATTCTAGGCAATGGGGTAAAGTGTCTTGCCTAAGGATACAACGTCAGTTTGGCACTTTACTGCCGCAGCCGCCCCCACTGTGGCATCAGGTGTTCCCAGAGGTTAAGTGTCTTGCCAAGGACACAATGACAGCAGATGGTCGATGGTGAAAGGTTTGAGGTGGTCGCCCTAAAAACAAATAATCACAAAAACCATTACAATCACACAAAGGATTACAATGGATTTGAACATCCCCAGAGAGGCAGCCAGTCTCACATCCTCAGGAAGACTGTTCCAGACCTTAGCTACATAAATCTGAACTGCTGCCTCCCCATTTCTAGTTCTGACTGTGCTCTGCAGAGTCCGGGTCGGTTCATATGGCGCCAACATGTCACTTATGTACTTTGTTGCGAGGCCATGGAGAGACTTTTACACAAGCAGAACTGCTTTAAAGTCTATTCTGAGCCACAGGAAGTTCTTTTCACTGTGGGTTTTAGTTAAGTTTACTTCCTGTCCTGTGTCCCTGTTGATTGTTTGCCCCGCCATGATGTGTTTCACCTGTGTCTCTCTGTGTCTACAGTGCCTTGTGGAAGTATTTGGCCCCCTTGAACCTTTCAACATTTCGCCACATTTCAGGCTTCAAACATAAAGATATAAACAAAAAAAATGTCAAGAATCAACAACCAGTGGGACACAATCGGGAAGTGGAACGAAACTAATTGGATAATTTAAACTTTTTTAACAAATAAAAAACTGAAAAGTGGGGCGTGCAATATTATTCGTTCCTCTTGCGCTAATACTTTGTAGCGCCACCTTTTGCTGCAATTACAGCTGCAAGTCGCTTGGGGTATGTCTCTATCAGTTTTGCACATCGAGAGACTGGAATTCTTGGAAGATAAATCTCCGTCCCAGTCTCAGGTCTTTTGCAGACTCCAACAGGTTTTCTTCCAGAATGGTCCTGTATTTGGCTCCATCCATCTTCCCATCAATTTTAGCCATCTTCCCTGTCCCTGCTGAAGAAAAGCAGGCCCAAACCATGATGCTGCCACCACCATGTTTGACAGTGGGGATGGTGTGTTCAGGGTGATGAGCTGTGTTGCTTTTACGCCAAACATATCGTTTTGCATTGTGGCCAAAAAGTTCGATTTTGGTTTCATCTGACCAGAGCACCTTCTTCCACATGTTTGGTGTGTCTCCCAGGTGGCTTGTGGCAAACTTTAAACAAGACTTTTTATGGATATCTTTGAGAAATGGTTTTCTTCTTGCCACTCTTCCATAAAGGCCAGATTTGTGCAGTGCACGACTGATTGTTGTCCTATGGACAGACTCTCCCACCTCAGCTGAAGTTATCTGCAGTTCATCCAGAGTGATCATGGGCCTCTTGGCTGCATCTCTGATCAGTCTTCTCCTTGTTTGAGATGAAAGTTTGGAGGGACGGCCGGGTCTTGGTAGATTTGCAGTGGTCTGATACTCCTTCCATTTCAATATAATTGCTTGCACAGTGCTCCTTGAGATGTTTAAAGCTTGGGACATCTTTTTGTATCCAAATCCGGCTTTAAACTTCTCCACAACAGTATCTTGGACCTGCTTGGTGTGTTCCTTTGTCTTTATGGTTCTCTCTGCGCTTTAAACAGAACCCTGAGACTATCAAAGAGCAGGTGCATTTATACGGAGACTTGATTACACACAGGTGCATTCTATTTATCATCATCAGTCATTTAGGACAACATTGGATCATTCAAAGATCCTCACTGAACTTCTGGACTGAGTTTGCTGCACTGAAAGTAAAGGGGCCGAATAATATTGCATGCCCCACTTTTCAGTTTTTTATTTGTTAAAAAAGTTTAAATTATCAAATACATTTCGTTCCACTTCACGATTGTGTTCCACTTGTTGTTGATTCATGACAAAAAATAAAAATTGTATATCTTTATGTTTGAAGCCTGAAATGTGGCGAAATGTTGACAGGTTCATACTTTTGCAAAGTACTGTATGTACCTGTGCTCATCCCTATTTGTGGCTGGTCCATTGTTCCTGGTTCTGTTTGGATTTTTATTTTATCATCTTCATTAAATCATCTATTTGTATGTCATGTGTCCCCCAGATAATGTGTCACATGTACAAATATGTGGCTGTGTCCATACAAAGGTTTAAAATTGAGTCATTTATAAATAAAATACAATGGGCTCAATGTCTATAATATTCATGTTTATGATTTTACTTTATTAGAATAAATGCAGGTGATAGTCATAAGAGTTTAGCTAAACTCCAGCAGGTGGTCTGCATCAGTATTCAGTGCTCAGGAGCTACATGTGTCACAGGAAGATTCTGGCAGCAGTAGTTGAATTGTATTTATAATGACTTTATTAAACAGTAAAGTGCAGATTACAGATGAAACATATGGAATCCTGTGAATGCTGCAGCCAGTGGTTTTCTCAACAGTCGATGGTTTTCTTTCTTGCTGAGAGCAGAATGGAGCTTTTTAAATGGTGCATTCAGAGTAAATTTCAGAGTAAATAATGCGGCGATGGCAGCACATCACAGCTGCCGTGCTGAGGGCTTCCTTTTAAAAAACGCTCCTTGATTCTTCCCAGTCTATGATGTTCTTTGTGAAAAATAGGTCAAGTATTTTCTGGGGCTTTTGAATGTTTTCAGAGCAGCTTCTAAAAGCTTTATGTGACATTCAAGACTTTTCTTAAGTGAACCCATTAACAACACAGCGTTTGTTTGTTTCTGCAGTAAGATCCAGTCTGGGAGCAAGCTGGTGCTGGCCATCGACACCGAGGCGTGCCAGGGCAAGGACAACTTTGTGCGATACCTGGAGCATGTTCAGGCCGTCATCACGGTCAACGCCAGTCGCCGTGGAGACCTCAAAATCAACATGACCTCCCCCATGGGCACCAAGTCCATCCTGCTGAGCCGGAGACCCCGAGACGAAGACTCCAAGGTGGGCTTCGACAAGTGGCCCTTCATGACGTCCCACACCTGGGGGGAGGACCCACGAGGGACCTGGGTGCTGGAGGTGGGCTTCCACGGAGACCAGCCCCAGCGAGGGGTGCTCAAGGAGTGGACGCTGATGCTGCACGGAACACAAAGTGCCCCTTACATAGACCAGAAAGTGCGTGATTATCAGTCCAAACTCGCCATGTCCAAAAAGGAGGAGCTGGAGGACGAGCTGGATGAAGCCGTGGAGAGGAGTCTGAAAAGTTTAATGAGTAAAAACTAGATGACTGCATGTGGTCTATAGTTACCCCCTAGTGGCAGAGGTGGGTATAGCAGCCGGAAAGTACACTTAGAGTAATGTTACTTCAAATAGTCATTGAAGACAGGGGTGTCAACCTGGTTCCAGAAAGTCCAGTCTTAAAGACCTTATGACGGGTTTGATTTATTTAGAAATACAGTTTTAATACCATTTTATATTAGAAGAGAACTACTAAAGGTTTCAAAATCAGTTGTTGTTTTTTTTTGTCTGATCCCCCAAAATCGAAATAACCCCATAGCAACGCCCTTAGAAACGAAAAAACTTCACAGCCCTTGGTGACGTCAGAACGGGTACGTTTCAACGCTGTAAGTTGTTTACAATTTGGTATTCGTTCTTTTTTCGCGGATATTCAAGATGACAAGGCCGTGTACAGCGAGTATGAGATAAATACTAGAATGAAACATTTGTTGTCACTGAGATAGTCCAGTGGTTGTGTCGATGGACTACCAAACCAGATACTTGGGTTCAAATCCCACCTCGGACACTTTTTCACACTCAAAGGCAATTTATGTGTAGTGAGCAATTGTCACCTGTAGAGGGCAGTATTGTGTTGGGCATCAGTGGAGAGAAGAGAGAAAAGGCAGTCCTGTGGCATAGATCCATGGTTTTCAATGCATGGGCGTAACCCGCTATGACGTCACACACAGGTTAGAGCATAGACAACTTAGAACGTGTTTTTCATGAATTTTTTTATAAAATATAGGATTTTTTTTGCCGGAATCTCTTTCAAATTGACATTGTCATGCAATTTTGATATCCACTATTTTTTTTTTTTAAACCCGTCATAAGGTCTTTAACCTGGAAATCTGAGGAAATTGGCAGAGTCTGCAGTGCTCATGCTTGGTTGAATTGAAAACCTGCGGCCACACCCCTTTTTTAGGACTGTTTTGACACCCCTGATTCAAGAGAAAGCTTATCCCCAAATAAGTGGTTTGAACAAAGCGATTCAAGCTCATTTTCTAATCATAAAGCAGGTTCAGGCTCACATGAGTCTCTCATTTTGGAAAAATTTGATCGAACTGTTTTTAGGTTTGAAATTGAGGTACCTCAGCTTTAATGTAATTGGAGGATTAACTGACAAATAGGAAATGATGAACATAACAAATGAAATACGATCATATTTCTGGATGATGTTCTACACGATTATCAGTTGGTTTCCACCAGTCCTACTCTACTCTACTCTACTTTTCTCTACTCTATTCTGTACTTCACTCTACTTTACTTGGCTCCACTATACTTTTCTTGACTCTGCTCTGCTTTCTGGTACTGCATTCTAGCAACCTTCCCACAACAAACCAGTATCCAGGGAATTTCCTTGGAACCATGGCTCTCGGCAGAACTCTGACCACTCACTGTCAGTGAGAACACTTTAGTACCATCTCAGCCTGGATAGAACAAAGCCGAGCTGGTACTAAAGTGGCCCAAGCAAGTACTACCTGGTACTGGTTAAACGGGTACCAGGAAGCACTTCTGTCGGTAGAGCCCTGCACTTGAGCCCTTGGCCCGAGGGCCCCGACGGCCCGACAGCCCGAGGGCCGGGCTTCGGGCCGATGACCGCATAATGACCTCGGACACGGGCCGGGCTCGGGCTCTTCATTTTCAGAGCGGCAGAATAGATTTACGAGCGCACCCACTGAATATAGCGTTCTATCACGCTGTAGTGTTTGTTGTTCTGTGTAGTGTTGTCATTGACGGCACATAGCATTACTTATGTAATGTGCAGATGTGTTGCAGCATCGGGGGCATCATACAGATGCGGCCGTTCACTCTGCACCACTCCGCACACACAGAACTCATTGCAACACATCACTACCATGTATAACTCCGCCCTCTAGCTAAGTCTGCGTTCATATCAGTGCGCGGCACTATATACTACGCTAAAAACATTGTTATGGGAGGTTACAAAAAAAAAAAAAAGGCGGGCTTGATGCGGGTTTTGGGCCTGAAAATTCAGAAACCATATCGGGCCGGGCCGGGCTGGGGCGCCACCCCCTCGGGCCAGGGCCGGGCTCGGGCCCAGATAATAGGCCCGTGCAGGGCTCTATCTGTCGGGTTAAAGCAGTGAAGAGTAGAGTAGAGAAGAAGAGGGCCCAGAAGGGCTTGTGGAACCAAGTTTAAAAGCATTACAGCCCTATCACAGTTTCTAGAGTAGGCGTGATGTTACTCAGAGCAAATACTTATTGAATAAAAGCAATCGTTTTCCAGAAGTTACTCAGCGTACACATTACCCACCTCTGCCTAACCGCAATCATGCTTTATCCCTGTCCTCAGTCTCCGTCTACCTCTTTCTGCCTTTCGTTGGTGTTTCCATCCCCCCACAGCCTCCAATGAATGTTTCTCGTAATCTGGACCATGATAAACCGGCGATCATCTTACGTAGAAGTAAAAGACGTCACCTGGATTGTGTTGTTTTTACACTACAGAATTGTACATAGGCCTAACGTCGTCGCACACGCTGTCGCTTTGAAAACCCGCCCCGCACTTTTCTCCTCCGCCAGCTGTTGTACAGTCTGTGACTCTAAATGATTCTCGGTGTCATTCCACTTTGAAAGTTTCGGTCCTGGGGAAAGCGGAGCAGTGCTACATCTTTGGGTTTATATTTTTGTGAGACGCACTGTTTATATATACGTAAACGAGGAGAAAAAAGGAATGTCCAGATTTATTTTGCAGCCTGTGGTCTTCTTCTAGTTCATATTTCATAATCTTTGATGTAAAGTAAGCTATAATAAATCTATTCAGCTGTTTATTAAAGCACCGTGTATGATTTCACATTCTGCACAGCAACATGGAGGAAGCTTGTTTATTTCGTACCAATAATTGTTACAGCTGATGACACTTAGAAAGTAGCTATTTATGTCTATCTAGATTCGGTATGAAGAGGAAACTATCAAAAATAATTGCAGCACTGAGCAATAGAACTTGCACTAATGTGGTTTTTATACCAAGCATCATAAAGGGTGTTACTTTTCATTAAACGATTGCTACTTTTCAGCAAGCAACTGTGCAAATGATTCACCATAACTATCACATTTAGCAGATTAAAACTAACGTCCCAAACGGCAGGTGAAACGGAAAATTAGAATATCGTTCAAAAGTTAATTTATTTCTGTAATTCAATTTAAAAAGTTAAACCAACCGTGTGATCCAGACTCATTACCTGTAAAGCGACGTATGACTTTGTTTATTATAATATAAGTCCACTTTCTAAGTATTCACATTTTCTGAGATGTTTTGATTAAGAGATGGTTTTAAGTAGCCTGGCTCTGCCAGACCCATGTAGTTCCGCCATGCTCCACCAGAGGTGTCTGGCTGAACCACATTGGTCTGGGATCGAGCCAAGCCCCAGTGATCCAAGATGGCGCCCTATTCAAATGAATGGCTTGTGCTCAGTAGCGCATGGGACTTCATGGAGAGCGGGAGATTAGCAGAACTTGCCTTTATTTGGGCATCGTCTGGTCCTCCCGGTTCTGCGCAATGGATTATCTCCCATGATGAAAGCTGCAGGCTCTCTGTCAGCTGAGGTCGTGCTGTTTTAATTTACAGTGAGTTCTATGGGACTTTTTTCTGGGTAGCCCTCATGAATTTAGTTTGCAGTACCACAGGTGCCCCCTGTGCCCGTGGGTGGGACAGCTGTAAGCTAGTAATACCTTATCCAGTTATTATTATAGATCCATGGATCGAGCCTATACCAAACTCCTTCAGCAGATCAGAAAATAATCGACCAATCAGGAACGTCGGTGTTACGTCGAGTTTGCACTGCCTTCTCGTGCTTGTCTCATGCAGCAGCGAAAGGAATCCAAGATGGTGGACCGCAAATTTTTAAAAAATTTAAATATGAACGAATTAAGACACGGATGTCACTTTTAATACCACAATTTGAGGCGAAATGTTGATGGTTCTATGTTGATATAAGTGTGATTTAAGAGTCAAATGTTCGTGTAAAGTTTGGTTTAAGCACTGGTTCAATGTTCCTGTTACAACACTATGCAGCGTCATTGCCAGGTTGGGTGGTTTCCCGCATACTTTTTCCAAGAGATTTGTAGTAATAAATAAACAGAGACAATAAACAGAATCATGATAGCCCAAGTTGATCACATAATGTTTTTAGCCCAAAAATAATTCTGAGTGTTTTTTTTTGTTTTTTTGGGGGCATTCTCGCAGATTTTGGGCTGGAAAATCTTGCTGACATTTGGCAACCTATGGGAGTCGTGTGCTTCGATGTGACTGGTTGAAAGCAGACGTCATTCAAGAAAACGAACAAGTGGTTTATCCAATCACATACAAGGATTTTTTCTACAAGGCCCTGCCTGCTGAAATACAACTCCTATCAAGGAGTCCCAGACCCATGTGGTTCAGCCAAACACCTCTGGTGGAGCATGGCGGAACTACATGTGTCTGGCAGAGCCAGGCTAGTGTGTTTAATTAATGACGTAGATGTGTCCGGCGGATGGCGTGGTCGTACAGAAGCACGGATCCGGGTAGCTTCCATCCCCGGTCACCAGCACGTACTGGTGTAGAAGTCAATGGGCACTTTTGCAGATTTTTGGGCCTTTCCCTTCTTCCCTTGAGGTCCTTCAGTGGATGCAACCTTGGTTTCTTTGATGTGGCCTTCTCCAGATGTTTTGTCGTCCTTAGCGCTGTCGATCACATCCCTGGTGCTCAGTTCGCTTCTCTTCACGCCCTTCTTGGCAAGGTTCTTCTGGCGTGGTTCGATGTTGGTGATGTCCTGGAAATCCTGGGTGATGTCTGTTAGAAGACAAAAAGATAGATGAGAGAATAAGAAATCCATGTATACGACTCTTAAAACAAGAGAGGACACGGAAAGCTTAGGGGTTCTCGAGTTGCAGCTTGGATTATGAAAAAGATGTGCTTTGGTCTGCAATTACATTAAGACTATTTCAGTTTTTACTTTATCTTCCCAGATCAGCATTTTCAAGCTTCAAACTGCTTGGCTGATTTTGTGATTGGCATTATACCGGCAGATTCTGATAACAAGCATCCATCTATTTTGCTGCAACTATTGATAATTTTAGTGAGTAAGTTAGTAATGTTTATTTATATAGCGCATTTTACAGACCAAGGTCACTCAAAGTGCTTTACAATGTTCAGAGTTCAGATATTGTTCCAATCATTCCACATACGGTGATGACGGAAGCGAGTCGCTGAACACACTGGCGCATCAGCCCCGATCAACACCATCCATTCACTCACTCATTTACTTTCATACTTATTGTGCATGTTTTTAGTGGTAGGGGAAACCGGAGCACCCGGAGTAAACCTACGCAGACACGGGGAGAACATGCAAACTCCCCTCAGAAAGGCCCTGTTCTGACCGGGATTGGAGCCCAAGACCTTCTTGCTGAGAAGCGAGAGTCCACTCCGCCACCGTGCCGCCCAGTAACTAAGTCTTCCATTGATTATCATCCATTGATAGTAATCCATTGACTTTTTTACAGCCTTAAAAAAACCTTCATATCCTGAAATATCAAAATATCAAACTCCTTATTTGTTAAATCTGTGCCGTGTCGAGCCAAGGCTGGAACATTGTATACAACAAAAAAAGTGATAGGATTAGTTCTGTGCACTTGATGTTCAACAGTTTCACAGTTTAGTGAATTGGAATCATCTCAGTCTTGAAGGCAAGACACCCAAACACAACGTTGGTGGGGAGCGGATATGGACTAGCTTGGACAAAATGTGACGTTCAACTGCTTCTGGTCCACTTCATTGTTCATTGTTGCGAGAGATAGACGTTTTAGTATTTACCCTTTGATATGTTGTTTTCCATGCCATTTCCATATAATGTATTCAAACTATCATGGAATTTGTGTAATTGCTTAGTCGTCCAGATCGAGTCAACAACCATGCAGCACAAACAATTTTAAAAAGACATGCAAACCTAAGCTGCCTCTATAGACATGTCCACTAAGATGTCGTGGCAGCGGCGTTTGTGTGTGGAGTCTTACCTCTCCCCCTACTCAGATACGAGGGGGTGTGGGCGTAGCGGTAATTAGTGGTGATCAGGTTAATGGGAGTGCCAATTATTGCTGAATTCAACCTGAAGGGAAAAAAGAAAATAAGACGGTGACACATGACCTGGAAGGCATTATTTAGTCCAGTCTAGTTTTGGTGTTGAGCTTTAGAATAAGATTGAAATTGTCGTCCAGAGAATAGAATATACAGTATAAGAGACCTCATTGGTATTCCAGAGAGGACGGAATAGTAGTCGGATCATAATATTTATCATATTGCATGATCAACATTATAAAGGGTTAATTTTGGTTAAATGAAATATCAAATCTACAATCACTTGCAATTAGTATTCAGGTTAACATTGACATCATTACAGTAAACACGTCTAACCAAGAAATAACGTTGAAATATACCCTCTCATGCTTTATGTCATCTGTCAAACACTGCCACCTGCTGACGATGTGTTTAAGGCAAATAAATATAAATATAAATTCAACATAAGTATGGTCCCTAGGTGTTAGTAGTCATTATTTATTTAGCAACATCTCTGACACATGGTCAGAGTGCAACCAAGCACTACAAAACCAGTGACACAAAAAAACAAATAACAAATACGTTCTCAGGCAGTTTTAAAAAGTCCATCATTGTTCAACTCAATGACTATTAAGGACAAATCAGTCTTATTATGGGGACTATTGTCAGGAGACCAACAGTCATGAAGGGGTAGTGACATCTGTGAGGAGCCTCTGTTGCAAATCCAGTCTTTCCCCAAAGATTGGACAATTTTATCATTTACAACCCTTTTGATGCAATACATATAGTTGTGCTTCAAAGTCGAACCAACGTATTTGCTTTTTAAAACCCTAACATCATTGAGCCTCTCTGGAGAGGTCTCAAAAAGTGCAGTTCATGCAAGGCGGGCCAGGAATTTACAGGAACTGGAGGCTTCCAATGTGAAGCTTTCAAGCACAACTGAAAATAGGATTTGGCCCTTAGCACACCAATACATTTTATCTGCCTCCACACTCCATAGCCAGTCCCGGCCGGGCATAGCATCCTGGCTCGGAATGGTCCCCTCATAACCCTTTCACCGCACGGCCCTCGGTACCCACCCGTAAGCACCCCATCTCAGATTGCCCTGCCGCCGGAAGTGCCTGACCCTGGGACTACACGCAGAGGTAAAACATGCATGGTCACAAGATGGACGCACGGCGAATTTTGCACTATTTATACTTTGTTTTTATGTTTGCTTTTATCGTGAAATGTGTTTTATCGTGTGCAGCACTGTGTGTTTTACTTCCTGTTTTTAATCCCCACACCTGTGGCAGCTTTTATCCTGATTTTAACCAATGGACAGACACTGGTGGCAGGAGCCAATTGGGAAGGGTTTTTAAACAGAGTGGACTATGGGGAAGGAGGACGGTTGACGACTCCAGCGTTTTGGGGCGACCGAGGAGAGGAGGCAACCAGGGACGGCAGCAGCAGCCAGCAGTACCTGCACAGAGGACCCAAGGGAAGCCAGAGCATGACGCGGACGACACGCGGCGGGCAGAGTTTCTCTGCCCGTGTCAGTAAGTAATGTTTCAGTGCTCTGGTCGGGCACATGGCTGCTGCTGGCCAATAGAAGTCTGTTTTTAAAGTCTTTTACTGTGGGAGACCCGTGTGTTTCAGGGAGGGGCCTGGCCAGCCGTTCCCTCGTGTGGAGCCAGAGTACGACGAGATATCAACGCAGCACGTAAGTGACTTTTAGTGCTCTGGCCGGGATTCATCCCACCTTTTAATCAACAGATTTCTATTTTTAAAAAGGAACATTTTACTGCCTTCTGCTCCTCTGGTTGTTAGGTCTGCTGTCTGCTCTACACTACCATTCAGTAATAAGGAATGAATAGAAAAATTGCAAATCCCATGATGACAAACAGCAGCTACATTCCACACTGACAGTCCTTGTGAACCACAGCTGGACCCTCTTGCTGTGAGGCCAAGCACCCCACCACCCCCCAAACTGCCCCCACCTGTTGTCCTCGCTCTCGATGATCCTCTTGTAGCGCTCCAGCTCGTTCTCCAGAGAGCTCTGGTACAGGGCCAGGTGCCGGCACTCGTTGGTGAACTTCTCCAGGGACTTCTCGGCTTCTTCGATCTCCTTCCTCAAAGATTCAATTTGTTGGTTGTAGGTCTGGATCTCGTCCTCGTAGCTCTCCTGGGTGCTCTCGATGCTCTGCTCCAGCATCTTGTTCTGAAAGACACAGGCGCAGATTCATTGAGGAGTTGAGGTAACAGGATTAGGCTGTAACGAAGCCCCGCCAGGGAAATGCAAAATGTCAACCACGGGGCATTACTTCTAACACAGGGGATTGTAAGCCTCACTGCGTCCAGATGGTTCAGGTAAGCACTGGCAACACAGGCAGAAGTGTATGAACGTACACGTACACGCACATGCACGCACATATACGCACACACAGGTAGAAATTTAATTGTTTTGCCATGTTTGGGAGATTATGAATGATCGCTCATTATTGTTGGTTGCGTGATGCATGTATTGTCAAATTAATTTGTTAATGCAGCCACTCTGAGAATCTGAAATGTACAGTAACTGGAGGTTTTTGCCAAGATGTGCTGCTTTGCCAGCAGAGAACAAAGAACCTCATCCTCAACTATACCACAAAAGACTCCAAGCTTCATAAATGTGAAAAGAGCAGTACACACTACTGAGAGTGTCTTTATTATTACATTTTTTGTGTAGTCGTATTTCTATGTCACCTTTTCTGCATGGTTGTGTAATCTTGCAAACACAACTGTACACTGTAACATGTGACATAGTCTTCAACATAATTATAATTCTAAGATAGATGAGATCATCACTTGCAAAAAAAGACATGAATAGTTCATTTGGAAAAACAGGTGTCATACAAATAAAGTTTCACCTCTTCTTGAGAAAATTCTTTCAAATATACTCAATAAATAGCAACACAATAACAAAACATGATTAACTTTTCACATCCAGATTTCTATCTAAAATAGTAAATGTATAAAAGTGATAAATTTACCAAATATTTTTGACTTTGATCAAGGACTGCCCTAAATAAACTGTAAAGGACAATGCTGACATCTGGTGGCTTTCATGAACATTGCTAGAGTTCCAAAAGGTTATTTTCTGTGAAATGGCTTCAGATTCACTAAAAATGTGTTAAGGGTCCATTGGGTTTGATATGTCTGAATACATTTCACTATAGTGAACTAAAGTTTATAATAGCACATTTTGCAGACCATGGTTCACATTAAAACTTATAATAAAACAATACACATAAAAGTCACTTTACAAATGTCAAAGATGTACTTTTCAACGTAAGTCAATATGAACCAGAGAGTTGGAGCAAAAATTCATCCATGAGCACTTCCCCAGATAACTTCATTGAGTTCGGAGGTTAGTATTGTCCATCTATATACAGTTTACATGTTTCCACTGTCACCTTACTTAGTCACTTTGTCCCAGACCCTCATGCTGCATGTACAGATGTATACAAACTATTTATTTTTATTGCAACTGAATATAGGGGTTTTTTTTTTACTTGCTTCTTTATTATGCTAAAGCTAGATATTTTGTAATTACTTCTTAATTATGCTAAAGTTGTCAATCTAATTTGATTTTAGTTGAGTTTAGTTGATTTAGAGTTATTGTTCATTTATCTTGTGTTGTGTGCTCCTCATTCCTACACATCTGTAACTGGGGATGCAACACTGAAATTTTGTGACAAACCTCAGCGTGCAGCTTGCTCTTCTGCCCCTGCAGCTGGCAGAGGGCGCTTTTGCACTCCTCCAGCTGACTCTGCAGACCCGGGACCTTCCTCTGGGCCAGCAGCCTCTCCTGCTCCTGCGCACATGTTCAAATCACCACAAATCAATAACAAGGCCATGAAGACGACCAGCCCCACACTTACCCCTCACCTCATCAGCCTCTATCATTAGCCTTTATTCCTGAGACAGATTTGCAATAAAAAGTTCATGTGCATTTCATTTTAAAGGTTCAGAGGTTGTCAGGCTGAATGGTCGGCCCCCACACATATTCACCACACCAAATCTGGCCCTCCTGGCAAAAAGTTTGGACACCCCTGGTTTAGGTCTTACCTTGAAGACAGGAAGTACTTTGTGGAGATTGGAAACTGTGTCTCAGATCATATGGCCCTGAGCTGTGGAGTACCACAGGGGTCGATTCTGGGACCTCTTCTGTTCAATCTCTACATGCTGCCGTTAGGTCAGTTAATACGCAGAAACAAAGTGTCCTATCACAACTATGCAGACGACACTCAGATCTATGTCTCACTGACTGCAGGAGAACATGGACCAGTGGACTCACTCCTTCACTGTATCCAACAGATCAGTGAGTGGATGCAAAACAACTTCCTTCAGCTAAACGCAGACAAAACTGAAATGATTGTCTTTGGTCCCCAAAAACAAAGAGAGAGCGTCATCTGTCATCTACAGTCTCTCTCCCTAAAACCTTCAAACAAGGTCAGAAATCTAGGGGTAATACTGGACTCAGACTTAAATTTTAATAGCCACATTAAATCAGTAACATCAGCAGATTTTTACCACCTAAAAAACATTGCCAGGATCAAAAACATAGTGTCTAGGGCAGACCTGGAGATTCTTATCCATGCATTTGTCTCCAGTAGGTTAGACTACTGCAATGGCCTGCTCACAGGTCTGTCCAAACAGGCTGTAAAACAGCTGCAGTACATTCAAAATGCAGCAGCTCGAGTCCTGACTAGAACCAGGAAGTACGACCACATTAGTCCAGTCCTCAGGTCTCTGCACTGGCTTCCTGTGGCTCAGAGAATAGACTTTAAAACAGCTCTGCTTGTGTACAAGTCTCCCCATGGCCTCGCACCAAAATATATTAGTGACATGTTAGTCCCATATGAACCAGCCCGAACTCTGAGGAGCACAGGGACTGGACTCCTGTTAGTGCCCAGAGTCAGAACTAAACATGGGGAGGCTGCTTTTCAGATTCATGCTGCTAAAATCTGGAACAGTCTTCCTGAAGATGTGAGACAGGCCTCCTCTCTGACAATGTTTAAAACATAGACTGTATATATTAACGGACAGAATCACGCCTATCTCCGCCGTTCATAGGAGTGGGCCATGAAAAGTGCTTTCATGGAGCTATCCAAAATGGCCGCGAGTGGTCCCGCCCACAAGAAAATTGTGAAAAAACGCATCTACGCATGCGTCAGCTGGCGCAGCTCCATTCATTTGAACGAGAGACTTCAAAAATTCCCGCGAGTAAACTAGAGTGGACCCCCCTCAGCATTGACACACTTGTGGAACGGAGCTTTGGGCCAAGAGCCAACTTTTGGTCCATCCTGTAAAGACGTTTTTGAGAGGTCTGCTAACGCTATATGTTAGCATTGGCTAATTCTTCTTCTGGGTCCACCCCCAACGGCCCGGGGTGGTATTGCAAGCATGTCAGCGCACATCATTTTGGCCACTTTTGAGCTGGGACCTTCCCCCACTGGTTTAAAACCAGGTTAAAGACAGTTCTGTTTAGCTGTGCATACAACTGAGGGATTTTGTATTTTTATCTTTCTTTTTAATGTACTGTGATTATTTATGATTTTAATACTATTTTGTCTTGTTCAGCACTTTGAGTTGCCTTGTGTATGAATTGTGCAATACAAATAAAATTGCCTTACAGAAAAGCACATCTCTCACATCTTATCTGTTTATTCTTTTTATGTCTGTTGTGTCTGGTATGTACAGAGCATACAGTGCCAAAAATGATAATAATGAGGACATGTGGCCGCCATCTTCTGCAACCACAAAGAGGGCGTCTAATTTGACCACAATCACTGTGTGGGTCAAAAGGACTGAGTCTAAACACTTTTATTACTTCTTTTATTCCTACTCCAGTAGGAAAGCCAGCACCAGTGTGGAGAGAAAGCCCCTCTGAATTACCATTTAGATTGGACAGCAGGCTAAGAGAAAGCCAATTACTCAATGAGGCGGCCATAAAGAAACAGGGGGGACACCGAACAAGAACCTGCCCAGACAGAGACCCCATCACCATGTTGGGACAAAGTTCCAACATGACCGCAGAGAAGACTATCTGTATTTGCACACACTATTTGTTGTTTTGGAGTGTGCTAATTTTTTTTTTAGATAAATATGGATTTTTTATAATCAAATGTTCATGTTTAAAGTGGTTCTTTAAAGGTCCTATATCATGCTTTTCTTCATGTTTCACACTCAATCCTATACACATGTGTGATATTAATGTGTATGATACACCACACAACACTCAAAGCTTGTGAGATTAGAGCCATCTCTTGTATAGAGGTGACGTCACCTCGACTCAAACGAGCTGATCCAGAGAAGAGTCTGCTCCTCTGCCTGTGAGCCCGCCTCCCCCCGCCCGCACGGTGACGTAGCATCACGCTTTTGTCGTTTATCACCTGTACTTAGTAATTTCATACATAAGAATAAACTTTTTCCAACAATGACAATCCGTCACATCGAGCCCTATGTCCTCGATGCACAATCAGACCCTAGTTATTTAGTTTACAGAAGTATACAGCGAGTTAGCGTCACTACTTACAGATCGAGGGGGTCCGAGTTACGTCTTTTACCGTGGGAATAACGTGTTTCCAGATCAGCCTTTGAGTAAGTCCAGTTCCATTGTCCCTGTAGTTCTGGAACAGTCTCAGTGAAGTGTCGCAGATGAACCGGTATTATAATAGATCCATGAGATGAGCAGATGAAAAAAGTCGAGCCGCTTTCTTCCTCTTAGGGCCAAATAGTGTGTCACATATTCACACCCATAACACACTTCATTCAAGTTGACGTGATCCTAACACTTTTAGTTGCTGACAAAAGCAGAAAAACAGCAGCTCTATGTGGTGTCCGCGAGACCAGACCACAGACGCTGGACTCGGGAGCCGGGGCCTGTGCGCTCTGATTCGCTGTTTTGATCCGTCAATCACCTCCCGCCAGCTTTAAATTTATTTATTTTTATTTTTATTATTTTAGACAAAAAACAGCATACTAATTGTGTATTGTTTACCCCGTTTTGACAAAAGTATTTAACAACTATTTTAAATACAAAGCAAACGGGGTCATGCGCGTCATCAGTGTGGTTTTCGTCACTGAAGTGGACCCGAGCGTTTCTGTGCCTCTCGAGGCTGAAGGAGACAGATTGCTCTCTTACTAAAGATTGACAGAATCAATGAATAAACTACTGTGGGCTTGTGTATGAAGGCCAAATAGCACTGTAATCATGTTTAAAGCAGAGAAAAGTCAAAAACCGTGATATGGGCCCTTTAACCACTTTATGTGGTTCTTTAAAGCTCCTCGGAGCTTACGTCACTCACGTTTTCTTTTCAAATCTCCCTCCGAATGGGCGTAGCCTGGAGGACTAAAGGGGACAGGCGAGGGGGTGAATGTTGGGAGGGTCTAGACTTTGAGTGACACTTGACATCAGCATTGGTCGTGTCAAAGATGGAGAGTGATCAATCAATCAACTTTATTTGTATGGCGCCTTTCCAACACAAGGCCACTCATACAGCTGATCAGACACCAGCTCTATGGCCCAATCCCCACACTGCACCCTACACACTTCTACGAAGTGTGCATTTGTTTGAAGTGCACACCAGGGTTGGAGTGCGCAGGTTACAAGTGTGCAAAAAAGGCGGAATTGGGACAGTGCACACTGAGTGCAGGTTACGTCATCGACTCTTCAAGAGATGGTCATTTTCAGACCTAAACTTTATAAACATTAAAGGTAATTTTGTCTGACCCTTTGGGAAAAAAATTGAATTGCGTCACACACGTTAAAATACATGTATATTAGTTGTTTTTAATTAGAGATAGCTGTATAATTTTAAGTTAAATGTGGGTAACTAACTATCTGGTCAGTTTTTATACATTCTAAGATTATTGGGCCTCATTCACGAATAACTTCGTAAGAAACTTCTTAAATGTCTTCTCAAGTCGTTCTTAAGTGGATTTCTAAGAAGAGCCTACATGGGATTCATCAACGCGCTGAATTGTTCGCAGCTGTTCTCTCAGATTGATGAATGCCAACTCCTCGTAAGTAGAGCACGCGTGCCCGGTGCTTCATTAGCATAGGTACTTAGCATAAGTAACCGCCCACTAATGCCCATATAAGGGACTGCAGGGCCGTGTGCAGACGCCAGAGGAAACGGCAACAGGCCTAAAGCAAAGAGTTACACGGAGCAAAAGAGTCACCCTTTTTTCTTCTTTTGCCAGACTGAGAATAAAGTTATAAAATGTTGACTTAAAAGTCGAAATATTATGAGAATAAAGTCGAACTAGCAAAATTATGAGATTAATCTAAGAATATGATGAGATTAATCTCAAAATGTTATGATCTTAATTAAAAAATATATTATGTATTATTTTAAAGATGAATCTCAAAATGTTTTGAGATTATTCTCAAAATATTTTGGACCCTGGGAGGAGATCCAGCGCAGACCAGCGCTGAGACCAATGCAGACCCGAGGAGAGACTGGAGTGACCAGCACACAGAAACCAGCGCGGACCTATAGGAGAGGCCGCATAGACTGGAGTGACCTGACTGGAGAGACCGGTGCGCAGAGACCAGCGCGGACCGAAGAGAGACCGCATAGACCAGACTTGAGAGACCAGCGCGGACCCGTATGGATCCAGGAGCATGCAGGACGGACCCGTATGGAGAGACCAGTGCAGACCCGTCTAGAGCCATGGGAGAGACCAGTGCAGACCCGTATAGATCCGTAGGGAGAGACCAGTGCAGACCCGTCTAGATCCATGGGAGAGACCAGTGCAGACCCGTCTAGATCCATGGGAGAGACCAGTGCAGACCCGTATAGATCCATGGGAGAGACCAGTGCAGACCCGTATAGATCCATGGGAGAGACCAGTGCAGACCCGTCTAGATCCATGGGAGAGACCAGTGCAGACCCGTCTAGATCCATGGGAGAGACCAGTGCAGACCCGTATAGATCCATAGGAGAGACCAGCGCAGAGACCAGCGCAGAGACTCAGCGCGGACCCAGTAACCTCCTGCAGCAGCAGTATATATGCCGTTGTTCTGTGGCCCGTGGATAAAGAAATGCCCCCTATAAATAGGAAGGGGTCACTAATACACGGCAAGATTTCCAATGTATTTGATAAAGCGTTGGCACATTTCATTTCAAAATGAATTAAAAAGTAGGCCAGATCTGCAGTGAAAAAGGCGGTATATAAATAAAGATTACTAATAAAGATTACTACAAATAAATAAATACATACATCGATATGACGGACATATCACTGGAATGTTGTATTTTTATTAAACTTCACCAAAGAGGACAACCCCGGCGTGTGAACATGTCGGCACTGAATGCGTACGAGTGCTCCTGAGGACTCGTAGGATTTGTACTTGCCCAAGAGAAATTCTGGTTACGAGAAAAATTCGTGAATGCCACTTTCTTCGTAAAAACCTCGTAAGTAGGATTTACGTACAAATCTGTTCCTAAGAACCGTTCGTGAATGAGGCCCAATGTACTAAGTGTAAAGTTTAAATTTAATGTTTTATAAACGCTTGCTTTAAAAAGTTATTCAATTGTTAAAACACAATGTCCGTAATTCTTTATCAGACGTTTATGCTTCTTTCCAAGTAACATAGCAAAACTTATTTACACACATACTGCATATATATTTCAAAATGTATATTTAAATGCATTTTCCCGACATTTTGGTGTGTACTGCAAAGAATTATGGGCAATATCCTTCGCCAGAGTGCGCATAGATGCAGGCTACGGCAAAGTGTGGATCAGGGGTGCAAAGGGGGCGGGGCTAAAGACCTCCCTGGAGAATTGGGACACCCTACGCACTCGCACCCATCATCGGGAACGCGCAAATGAGGGGCGCAAGGGTGGAAGTGCGAGTATTGGGACGGGGCCTATACAGGGATCAAGAGTTCCGAGCTTCCGGCTTGACCGCACGGCATTGTGGGTAGTCTTCTCAAGCCGGAAGCTCGGAACTCTTGATCCCTGTATAGATTCTGTGCGGTCTTGCGAGGTAGAGGATATCTCTTGAGAGAGGAGGCAGACGGCGGCGCCAGTAGAGCTAGCGGCTAACGAGCTAGCGGCTAACGAGCTAGCGCCGCTAGTAGAGCTAGCTGCAACAGGCAGCTGCCTCTCCAGCAGAGCAGGATTATTTTTGCAACAACACATCATCAGTAGGGTAAAACTAACCTCAGAGGCAGCAGACCACCACAGAATGGGGCCTGTTTCTGAATGATATCGATTAGAGTGGAAGAAAAAGTACGAACTGCTTGTCACAGGTAGCCTTCCCATATTCCCATACAGAAACCGCTTATTTTGCGGTTCTTTTCTTCACAGTTTTGTCTGTACATTTTATGTATGAACCCAGACCAAGATAAGTATATGTTGTGGGGGTCAGTTTTAAAATTCTAAACTCTGCCACGGTAACCTGCGCCCACAAGGGAAATGATACCCCAATGTGCACAAAAGAGACAGTAATTTAACACACGCCCAAACATAAAGTAATATGTATTGTACACAAGTACAATAAACAATATACAATGAAATTACAAACAATATAGAACACTAGTAATATTAACCAAAGTCCTAAGCTAAATTCAGCTAACTCATCTAACAATAAAAGTAACAAATGACTGAAACTATTATACTATACTATATCCAATATTCAACAACAACGCTATTAACACTACACAATTATCTATAATACAAACAGCTTTGCTAATAATAATCTCCCTAAATGCTATAACTAATCGCAAACCTGACACTCGATGAAAATACTCTCTGCTATTCCTTCTCCAACATGGGGGCATGAACGAGACTGGCCCGTTCACGCTCACTGGACGGCAGGGCAACTGACGTCAGCCCTTGCTGCTGCGCCAGTGTTGGCGCCAGATTCAAAATTCAAATGTAGTAATACAGGTCGCCTGCAGATGACGCCTCACTGACGGTTTTAGGCATAAAGTTGATCTTTGCGATATGTAGACAACACTATTGGACTCTCATTTATACCGTTCATCAGCAAAAAAAAGACAGGATTACAATTTTAAGATTTGAAATGTATAGTTAATATATAGTGTCGTACCATGTCCACAATTGAAACAAAACAGATAAATATTGAACCATATCGGATCATTTACTGTAGATTTGCATTGAATTGAAGTCCCCTGTATCTCTGAGCTGAAAGACACCTCGCCTTAGTTTGAACCAAGACCATGTTTTTCCTCATCAACTGAGCAATGAGGTTGGCGTTGCATTAAATGCTTTGAATGTGTTTTTGTAGCTGCCTGGACAACTGCTTTGGTGTGTATGAGTTTGCCGAACAAATGCCATTGGTTGGGAGTTGAGATCTAGGTTTACTTAAACTTCAAAGGTCCTGGTGTCCCTGTGTTTCCATTTCTTGAACATCAATGTTGTTCCCGGCCCCAAATCAACCCATCCTCAAAAGGCCATTGTGTCCTATTCAATCATTCAAATTCAATTATTGTCACAGTCCATAATCTTTAGTGTAGAACTATCAATGTGTATAATTATCAATGCTTTCTGAACATATTTACTGAACTTAAAAAAAAAATACCGCAATAAAACCGAAAACCGAGAAAATGTATGTCACAATAACCATAATCATAATAAAGGTTACATTTTCATACAGTGACACCCCTAGCCGAGACAATGGAAATGTATTAAAAATCATACAAATACATATTTTTCAATAAAAAAGGATATTTTTTGTTGGAATGTATTTCAGATTGGCATTTATTGATTATATGGAAGTTTTTATATTCACAAACTATATGACTAACCCTGCTCAAGGTCTTTAATAAGGTGATTCACACAGAACCATGTTTTTTGACCCAGACAGCAGGGAAAGGTTAGCATCTTGTTTGGACCTGTGTCAGGCTTTCACCACAAGGAAGACAGGAATGTTTCCATGGCAACGCCATCACAGTGTTCTATTTATCTCTGGTTGGAACTCAGCCAGGGTGTCATAGAAACCATATCGCCATAGCAATATGATTTCACTTAGATTGCAATGTCATAAAGAAAAGGGAAAGAATTCGTTAGCCCATGTGTGTCCACTGGAGACCAAGAAGCTGCGAAGTTACTGTAAATTTTTCTTCGAAGACACGTACTTACTATTTAGCACAGTGGAACCATTTGTGAGCACCATTTTACTTTAGATTCAATGAAAACTTAACTTTTGTGTTTCCATAGCAAGAAAAATGCATAAACACAAAGTGAACACTGCTATAAATGCCACTGAGGGCAAAAAAAAGACTTTGCCCTCTATAGATCATCCCCCTAAAGCATTGACAGCCTTAAACCGGCCCCATAAAACTTTGCTCCCTATAAATATTTCCCAAAAACCATTGCCCACATCTGCATCGTCCTCTGTAGATATTCCCCCTTTAGATAGAAAACCATTGCAGCATGGACCCTTTGCTCCTGAACCTCAGCAAAACACAAATTCAGGACCAAAAAAAACCATCCGTGCCCTGGCCCTAGAACGAAGACTCAAGTACAACAAGGACGCTGCAAAAGCTCAAGAAAACGAGCTGCAGCAGGAAATAGCACATTTGGGGATCGAGATGGAGGGGTACAAGGCCACTCTTCTCACCAAAGACCAGCAGGTGGCCTCCCTTCAGAAAGAACTGAAAAAGTCCTATGCAACCATCAGGGAGTGGGAAAAGTCATGTAAAAAGTCTTTGCCAGCTAAAATTACCCCTGAAAATGCAGAGTTGTATGAGTGGAAAATACAACAAATGAAGGAAATGAAAATCATGGATGATCAGAATCACAATAATCAAGTGTTGGCGGATTTTGAGAAATATAATGAAATCCAGGACAAGTTGAAGAAGATCATTGAAGATTTGACAAAGAAGTTGGACGCATCTCAGGCAGATCTGGATGTAGCTTGCTCCAGAGAAAGAGATACGCGGATTTCTTTAAATATAGCCATGGGAAAAATCCAAGAGTATGAAAAGGTATTCACCGATACTAGAGATGAGGCGTTAGAGTACAAGAAGGAATCCGCGGCTTTACTGGAAACTCAAAAAGCAAAGTACATGAGACAGATCTCCAAACAGAGGGAGACGCACAAGAATACAGTCCACCATTTAAAGAGTGAAGTCCAACTGCTTCAGAATGAACTCGACACCAAGGTGACTGATTTGACTCAAGCGCTGCAGCTGACACAAAACTCGTTCGAACAACTGAAGCAGCAGAGCTCTGAGAAGATCGCTGAACAGGCCACGCAACTTCAGCAGAAAAAGGAAAAAATCAGTTTCCTTCTCAAAGATACTAAGCTACAGGTTAAATTTACTGAGTCAAAAGTGAGAGAAGAAACTGAGGATATCATTAATAACTACCATCCTCGAATCACCCTGTTGGAGAAAGATGTAAAAGAGTATAAGGAGGCTTTCGAGCAACAGAAAACAGAAATTGAGAATCTTAAAAAGGATGGTGAACAAAAATACAAAATTATCTGTATGCAGGAAAAGGAGATTAAGTACCTTCGGGAAGATATTAAGAATATAAAGGACCAGCTGGACGAAGAACAGACCCTCAATGTAAGGATGGAATTGAAAATCAGTTAAATTAAAAAAGCACAGAGCGATTCAAACTGCGCGAGGAAAAGATCAAACAGGTGGCCAAAGATTTAGAAACCGCAAAGACTAGCACTGCTCACCTCAATAGCATTGTAAATAGTAAAACCACTCGGATAAAAAGCATAGAATCGACAATTGAGGGGCACAGAGAGGAACGTCAACTCCTGAAACAAACGATTCAAAAATACAAGTACTCTTTGGACGACTGCCGACATTACTTACATGACCCTAAAAGGCTGAAACTCAAAGTAACAAACATGATATGTGAATTCTAAGATGGCTACATAAAGCCAACGGGAGATGCAGACACCCAGAATAAAATTAATTATATGGCAAATGTGATAAAAGAACAAGCTAAAACCATAGAGAGCATCTCTTCCAACCACAAGAACAACGAGAGGTCTGCTGCAACCCTTCTGACAGTTAAACAAGGATTTGACAAAGAAAGGCAAAAATACATCAGCTATATCATTGCAAAGTGTAAGGACAGTGTCACAAAGAACGTCATAAAAACAAGATCAAATCAACCACTTAGGGATTAAACATGTTCCAAACTGGACTAGTTTCCAGCTCCATGCATGCTAATATCGGAAACGTCTGGCACAATGCACACAAAAGCGCACAAATACTGGGTACACTAAAACAAACCCTCTGATCATGATCTTAGATAATTATTGGGTAACTATAGATGTATAGATAGGGATTTTTCATGTTTGTCAATATACTTTTTACCCAAGAAATTATATTTTGCACTACCTTAAACTTCTTAAAAGATGTTTAAAGTAGTACTAGAATTTACCATGCTGCTATCCAGAATATATAACTACATATATATAGTATACGTATATATATATATATATATATAACTATATAACTGATTGGATAGCACTCTTGCCTCTCAGCAAGAAGGTCCTGGGTTCGAATCCCGGTCGGACCAGGGCCTCTCTAAGTGGAGCTTGCATGTTCTCCCCGTGTCTGCGTAGGTTTCCTCCGGGTACTCCGGTTTTCCCTACCACTAAAAATATGTACAATAGGTCTGGCATGTGCCTCCTCTTCGGCGACCCCGCTCCCATCTCTGTGTGGAGTGAGAGGACAAGTGCCCAAAAATAACAATTGTAAACCGCTTTGTGACTGGTCTGTGAAAGGTGATATATAAATAAAGATTACATAATATTTCAGGTGTTAATTTTGACATGTTAAGATGAACTATGTTAAAAAAAACGGCTTTGAAGTCGCACTTTTCACTTCCGCATAGAACCGCTAGGGGGCGCCAAAATGGCAGCAATGACGTAGGTGAATGATCCTTCACAGCCGTCATGCTTGGAATCTGTAGGAGCAGCGAGTTAATTGATGATGAATCTGGACGCGGGAACCGCTCACCGGGAGCCGCTCACAGCACAACACGGTGAGCGCGTAGCCGCAAAATGACCATATACCCAAGACCATAAACGCGCACAAGACCATGTGTTTCTTTGAGTAATCTGTGCACCCAATAAATACACCGCTGCCGGAAACAGTCCGCGTCTCCCCTCTCCTCTCGAAGCGCGATTAAACGCCCTAAATTTAAGCTCGGGTACCAACATTTTCCATTGCATTAAACAGCGCCGGCCCAGGGCATAGACATCTGCAGGATGGGGGGCCAAATTGCAGTCTTTTAAATTATTATTATTAATGAAATCAAGTGTTACCCATCACGTAAGATTGAAAAAACAAAAAACAGTTTATGTATACTATAAACGTAATCAAAATTGTCATCATTGAACCCTGCTGCCGTTGGCTGCACTCTTGTCACGCCAAGGTGAGTAGGTGGGGGAGGGGCAGCATGAATCATTTTATATAGAAAACAGTGTCAGAAAAAACACTCATTATCCATTATATAACATTATATGTGTGATTCTCTATTTATTTACCCTCTTTTGGCTGGATACATGTCAGGGCAAAACAAATATATCAGAATTGTGGCTGAACGCAAAGTTCCCCTGTGGCCGCTGTCTGCTCCGTGGTGCCAACAGTTTGAAGCTTTGACATGTGTTAACACTCAGTCCCAAACCAAAACACTGCTACTGTGCCTTGCGAAAGTATTCGGCCCCCTTGAACCTTTCAACATTTTGCCACATTTCAGGCTTCAAACATAAAGATATAAAATTTAAATTTTTTGTCATGAATCAACAACATCATTATTCAAAGATCCTCACTGAACTTCTGGAGTGAGTTTGCTGCACTGAAAGTAAAGGGGCCGAATAATATTGCACGCCCCACTTTTCAGTTTTTTATTTGTTAAAGTTTAAATTATCCAATACATTTCGTTCCACTTTACGATTGTGTCCCACTTGTTGATTCTTGACAAAAATTTAATTTTTATATCTTTGAAGCCTGAATATCTTTGAAGCCTGAAGTATTTGAAGCCCAATACTTTCGCAAGGCACTGTATGCGTGCCAAGGGGGACTGATGCCCCTGTGTCTGCACGTCTGACTGCATGTTTAATTAAACACATCATCACACAATGTATAGTATCCGTACAAAAGGAAATGTTGTAATGAAGGCTGTAACTTTGCCTTCAGGATTATAGGGACATGTTTTGATGGTCGCTGCTCGACCCTTTCTTTGGAAAAATCAAATTCAGAATCAGAATCATTTTTATTGCCATGTCAGTGAAGGCACAGACTAGGAAATTGCTTTGGCTCTCGATGCAAATAGTCAAAAGTAGAGAATAACTAATGTATTGATGTGAAGGTGATGAACACAGGCAACAGTGACTTTACATTTGACATCACAGTAATGCACTTTACATTTGACACCAAATCTCAAAGTGCTACAAAGTCAGCAGCATAACACATATAACATCAAATACATATATAAAATCAAATAGAGAAACTAAGAAATTAGCTGTAAACCTCAATAAAAAGATGGGTTTTGAGTGCCTGTTTAAAAGTTTCCACCGTCTGTGGGGCCCTGAGGTGGTCCGGGAGGGCGTTCCACAGACAGGGAGTAGCGTCCTCGAAGGCCCGGTCCCCCATTGTCTTGAGGCCCCGGATGAAATAAATATATTCAAGCTAATTAGTGTTGGACAAGTTAGCTACTTGAAATCAAGATATCCTAAAACATGCTTACAAGGTTAATATTCGTTTTTACATTATGCCAGTCTTACTTTGGTTACCTTAGATTTATTTGGTTACTACATGTCCGCCATCTTGCTTCGGCTGCCGTGAGACACGCATGGGCAGGTTTGCATTACATCATTAACAGCTGAGCCAGATCATCTCGACGGGCAGACCAACTCGACAGAACACCGGCTTTTCCCTGTCACAGTTTGACCTGACCGCATGGTTTCATTTGCTCTTTTGAAAAATTCTATGTGAATAATGAATATGTGGTACAGTAGATTTCTGTTACAGCAAAGGACTGTTTTGTTCTTTAGGGATTTCAGACGGTGAATCCAAACCGTGGTCCTGATCTGTCGCAGGAAAGGCAGAGGTCACGGTGCATCGGGTGCGTAAGGGGAGTTTATATAATGTGAGTTTCATGCAAATGTGAGGTAGCTTTAGAACATGAAAAAATGTCACTATGAAGGGAAATATAATGCCTGTATTTAAATCGAATCTTCCACTTTCTTTAGTCTGTTTTTTCCCATCTTTGCCTTGATGCCTTGATAAAACCCGGCTTTTACATTCTTCTCTCAAGAATCTACACACTGCTTTGGAAGCTTTGGAACGAGCCATCTGCTTAATATTTATTAATTATTTACCGTAAACCAACAATATGATGAATCCCTGCAAGACGACTGTGGTATTTCTGCCTCAACAAAAATCACTGACTTCCATCGGATCCAACCCCTTGATTTTGGGCTGAGGATCTAACACCAACAACATCCACAATTTGACTGAAGTGTGTGAGCACTTTTGTTTTGTGCACAAACGCAGTTTGAAAATGTGATTTACTTTGGTTCTCGGCAACAAATAACATGGTTTGAATATTTGTGTGAATGTCGTCCAAACATGCCGAACAAACGTTCGTAGATTTCTTTTACACACTTCACACTCCGGATCTGCAGGAACCAACTGTGTTCCAATAAAATCCTTCAGATAAAAAGAGCCATGCTGTGGATTTTCAGTTTGTTTTCATTGATAGAAAAAAATGCTTGGATAAATTTTGCCCCGAAGACAAAGAATAATCAGGAGCTTTAATTATTGCTTTGTATTTGTATTACTTATGAAGGGGAGGGTAGTGGTAAAAAAGGATACAATATAATAAAATGTGTCTTGCAGTGCTGTATGTAACATGGAAAAAATGTGAACTAATGAAGAACAACTAGATTATAAATCATTGCTCCACTGTATAAATGACACAGTCTGCTGGTAGTTACTGTGTAGAAGTCCTGACTTTTCTGTTTTGACAATGGAGGAATGTAAACAACAAGGATTTCTAATACATGACTTCAGACTCACACACAAGTTCATCAAGAGTCCAAGCCCTTATTAGCATTAGATAGCTATTTGGCCTACGCAGGACAAGCGCAAGATGACTCTACAAGGACTTTGTATATGTTATGACTATAAAATGCCTCTGTGTCTCTGATTTGACACGTACTGTCTTTCGATGTGTGACGTAACAATGACTATAAAAACTATTTGCTGACTCCATTTTGTCTGAAAGGAGAGAAACAACTGAAACCATTGGAACTTGAGAGAAACCTAATAAACTTCCGGAGCTTTGGCGCGCCTCGATCCGTCTGTCTGTTTCATTCCTGACACCCTGTACAAATTTGTATTCTGGACAAAGATGACGATATATAAATACACCACTATATACCAGCAGGAATTGTGAACGAGTAGCAGCTGCCAAAATGTATCAATATACATGTAGTTCAATATTGTTTTTTTGGTGAAGTTATAGACTAAAATGTAAATCACTAATTACAAGTTGAGTTGCAAATGATAATGGAAACACTAGAGACGTGTTAAGTAAGTAAGTAAAGTTTATTTGTATT